CACACACACACACACACACACACACACACACACACACACACACACACAACACACACACACACAACACACACACACACACACACAACCAAAACTCCAGCTGAACAAAAAAACTTTCTGATTTCTTTCATTGGATAATTCTGATTTCTCTCATTTCACACTGCTGGAAATGTTAGCTCTGGACCTCATCCATCCTGAAGCTCTGGTCTCTGCTGGCCTGGCAAGCATCACTCCTGGTAGGTGGAAGGAGACGCCAGGCTGTCGATAGAGGAAAGGGGAGCTCAGTGCCACGCTTCTTATGCAGTACTGCTCTGGAGTCTCAGGTGAGGACTTGCTCTCCTGGAGCCTATTTCCTCATCTGTGGAGTAGGGAGGGGCTGATTAAATGCCCTCCAATGGATACTTAAATGTCAATATTTTATGAGTCTAAGTAAGGTGTTCACAAGGAAAAAGAAATCATTGAATTTATTACCTATGGTGTGCCAGGAAGGTATTATATATAAGCCAAACACTTTCATTGTGCCAGGCACTGTGCTAATCATTTTATATACAGTACATGTATTGTCTCATTTAAGTCTCACAGAAATCCTCTGACTTGGGAATTATTAGCACTTCCAGTTTTCAGATGTGAAAACAGAGGTTTTAAGAAGTAAAATAGATGTTTTCCTGACAATTAGTGGCCTTTCACAGCTGAAGGGACATCTGACCATTATAAGGGCCAGGCTTCACCTTGAACTGCCATGAGACATACCTGGAAAGTGGCACCTGAACTCTGCTTGGATGCCCCCTGTGCTGGGAGCTTGGTCTCCTAGAGTGTGCTCCACCCCATCTTGGATCACGTTTGGCTATAAGAACATATTTCTTCACAGGGCACCAAAATCTATTTCTCTGTACCTTCTGCTTATCTGTGTGGTGGAAGGAACCCTGGGCTGAGAGTTAGAGCCTTTGGCTTGTGTCCAGCCCTTCCACTTCAGCAGCACTTTTCCCACAGGCCAGCTCCTCTGGGTCCATTTTCCCAGGTGGAAATGGAGGACTGGACAAGATGAGCTCTAGGTACTCTCTGGTTTGGACATTTTAGGATTATATAATTCATAACTGTGTGCGTCATGTAGCCGTATCTGATTGTAAATGATGGAAACAGTGAAGGAGTGAACATTGTGTTCCAAGGAACAGAGCTGTTTCTGCCAACATGTCTGCAAGGATGGTGACCCTGCCAGCTGAGGAGAATCCAGAAGGTTCTTAGAAATGGAGTTCTCATCTTGTCTTAAAACCAAATCCTCCTTTTCTCTCCTTCCTTTTTCTTCTCTTTACTCTTCTTTCACTCTTGATCTTCCTCACTCCCACCCTTCCTTCTGTTCTGAGTTAGAGGCATAAAGGAATATTTTAATCTCCCAATCAAAGTTAAAGATCATGTCCCTGGTGACAAGTAAACCACATTAAAAAGAGACTAAATCTCTTTTCAGGAGTCCGGAAAAAACCCACAGAAACTTAATCTGGGACTGCTTGTGTCTTTGAGAATCTCTGAGTTTGGCTTCTAAATTCTCTGCAGCTAAATTCTAGGGGTTTTTAATAGGTCTCTGCGTGGACTTTTAGGGAGGCCTCTGAAGCAGTATGCATATTTGGGCTTTGTTTGTGAATATGCGTTTTTCTGGGAAAACAGAAGAGTGGCCCTTGACACTGGAGGTAGGCCTCAGTATATCTACTTGCTGGCCTGGTTCTCAGAGCCAGGCTGTGGTGGTCTTTGTGTCTGATGTCACAAAACACCACCACCAGACAAAATGGATTCAAAATGACTACTCCATAATAATGTCTGAGCAGAGAATAAAAACAAGAATATTGTCTAAACCACAAAAAATGACCACAAAGCTCCTTTTCTGGTTGAGGTGAAGGCTGCTTCCTTTCCTCCCAGCCAAAAAAGAATCAAGATGCCCCGTTATGGGATTGCTCCTGCTTCCTGGCAGCGTCCAGTACAGAGCCAAGTCCCTCTTTCTTGAAGCTTCTCCAAAATAATCTACCACAATCCCAGATCCTATAAGTCTTTTCTAATATCCTCTGAGAAGTCTTATGACTCCCAAAATGTGTGTTCTCCCTCAGTGAAGTTAATAAAGTGTTTAACTGCAGGTGAACTGACAAGTCTATAGCTTCTACTGGATTCTGAAAAAGATGTGAATGAGGCTGGAGAAATCTCACAACCTAAGCTGACCAGTCCTGCTTTTAATTCTCCTTTAATACTGAGAATTCAAGACATCCTTTAATACCGAGAGGTCTTGAATCTGTTCAGTCTCCCTCTATACAACGATCTTCTCCTCCATCCCCATGGTTACAACTGTGCCTTCCTACCTGAATCTCAAGTGGTGATCTTCCTGCCTCATTCTCTGAGAAGAGTAATTCCACTGACTTTCTAGCACATCTGCCCTCTGACCAGTGTCTGTCTCTCTCTGCCTGTTGCCATGGTCAAGGACAGGTACCCTGCTGCCCTAGGAATAAATCCATGCCCCATCCCTGCCCCATTCCCCTATGTATTATCTGTGGCATTTTTTTGTGCTATAGTGAGAGAGCTGAGCAGTTGTAACAGAGACCACATATGACCTACAAAGCCTAAAATGTTTACAGGTATTTGATAGAAGTTTGTCAACCCCTGTCAGCCCCTGGCATAGATGTGCCAGCAAGGCTCTTATCAGACTCTGTCCATTGTGTCCTCTTGGAGAACATGCCTGCAGCAATCCTCTTTCTTCCCTGCAATGTCAATCACTTTCTGCTGGATCATTCTCTCTGGCACGAATGTGTGATTTCTCCTGTGCTAACCTTTCCTTCCCTTGACTTCTCCCAACCCATTTCTTTGCTCTCATTTGTGATAAAGCTTCTGGAAAGATTATACTCCTTGTTTCTAATTCCTCTCCTCCCATTTACCCTTTTATGTTTGTCTTGTTCTGTGTTTTTGAGACAGGATCTAGCTATGTGGCCTTGAGTTTCCATTCTCTTGCCTCTGCCTCAGAGTGCTGGAAGTACACGAATGGGCCACCACATTGGGCCTCTCACAACTAGACTCACTCCAATCAGGCTTTTGTCTAACCACCTAGAATTGGCCTTGGCCTACAGTTACCAATCAATACATATTTTGTTGCCTGTTGATGAATAAATTAGTATCACTGGGGCTGGAAAGAAACACTGAGCATGACTCTGGTCCAGAGTCCCTGAGAAACAGAGTGCAAGGGTGCCTTCCTCAAACTTGGCTCACAGTCATCAATACCACATATTTTCTTAAGACAGAGTTTCTTAAACCTCAACCTTGCATGCCAACATGATTTTTACCCTAAGAAAAACCCATACTTTTTATTTTGTTAATACTTTTCCTTGAATAGACTTACTGACAAGTTTATTTTAAAAGAAAAATTTATGTCATGGCTTTGATGTCCTAGTTCTGTTCTTCCTAGCACATGTTAAATGTATAATTATTAAATGAAAAATGCTCATTTTTATTGCCTGTGATCACCCTGCTTACCCCCAAGTGGAATCTGTACCTTAGAGACTCTCATCTCAGAAGCAGTGGTTCCCTCTCCCAAGAAGATGACAAGAGACAGTATTAGGCCTACTCTGGAAGAGATCTCTCACCTCTTGCTGGGCATCTTGTATATATTGGTTATTTTTGCCAAAGGAGTACATACAAGGTAAGCATTGACATTTAAAAGTCCTGAGACTTAGTTTCTGGAAGTGGAAAATCATAGTGTTACTTATGAGGCACTCTGCAAAGCCTTGGGCGTTTCACCTACCTGGTAAAATGAAGATTCTGCAAAAGGGGATACCATTATATACAGTTTATCTACACGTTTCTTTGTGATGGTTCAGTGAGGCTGGTTAACTTATGTCCAAAAAACAGGCATGAGTGAATTGTAGACAATTGTCTACAATTGTGTTTGTAGGCCAATTGTAGACAATTTCATCCAGCCTTAGTCTTGGAGAATTAAACCTCACAAGCCCTGTGTTGTGTAGGGACATGGAACAGTGATGTGGTCAGTCTGAAAGAGCTCTGGGGCTTGATCTCCAGTTCTACCTCTCATGATGCTGGGGAAATTGCTTCATGTTTCTAAACCTCAATTCTGCATCTGTAAAATGGGGATAATAAGAATTCCTGTACCTTGTGGGGTTCTTGAGACATTAAATGAGAATATATGTGAGAACTCTTGTATAAGATCTGAAGGGCTACAAAATGTCACTTAAAAATTAATCTCCTATATAACCCTCTTGTATAAGGCTCAAACTGAGGCTCAAAGACAGACCTGGTTGGGGTTACAACGAAGGTCTTATTCCCAGTTTCTTTTCACCAGGTTGCTGCACTGGGGCCTCCTGGTAGAGCAATTATCAGCAACAGCGAGTTCCTGGAGAAATGGATATGTGCTGGGGTTGGGGGTGGTGGAGAGGAAGGGAGGAGAGCAGAGGCATCTTCTGTCAGGGACATGGAGAGGGCAGTAGAAGGGGAAGGGGCAAAGACAAACTCTCCTACCTTCTCTGAGGTAAGGCTTCCTCAGGCTTTGCCATTTTCCTCCCCTCTCAGTTTGCCTGTCTTTGTGTGCTTGAAGCTGACCTAGCATAAAATAACATGGCCTTTAGAACATTTTGAAAGCAAAGTCAAGTTTTAATGATCAGTTTTCTGTTCCTTGGTATTTTCTTTCAAGGAAAGGCCATGTTTTTATAAGATACTGCATTTCACTAGGCTCTTCTTTGGGCCCCAGAAAGCATTCCTGAGTGGTAGGTCTAAGGAGGCATTCCAGTTTATTGCTTCTGATGTACAATACTCTTGGAGGAACTGTCTTCATGTCCCCCAAGGCCATGTTATTCCCGAAAGTGGCAGCTCTTAAACTTGTTCTCTAATAAAAACAAGTGCCACTGATTCTATGGAAAGTGAGCTTTCCAAGTAAGACCAGCTGTGAATGTTAAAAAAATAAAAAGGGGAAGAACTTCAATACCAGGAATCCATAACTGAAAACTCCACATAGCTGATTTTCTTCAGGCATTCTCACAGCCATTTAAAAAGATGTCTTCAGCAAACTCGTCTAAATTAGCTAAAAATGCTTGACATGAGAGACACGTTGTGTCTGTAGGCCAATATTCAATCCAGGTAGAGGAATCTAAAGGGTAGATATACCTACAAAAAAAAAAGTGTTTGTGATGATGGGCACAGATACAGGAAACTACCTGATTTCCCAGGAAGAGCCCAGATATGGGCAGGTCCCCAGGGCCAGGCTGTTAGCCAGACTCTTCTGGGGGAAGATTCACAACTCTTGAAAGATCTGGAGCTGCCACGGGCTGCCATGATTAAAGGTGGGAATCGCATTTAGGTCAAAGTCTATTTTTGTAAACAGATAGTTAGGTTAATAATTAAGCATTTCAAAACAGTCTGAGGACATACTGAGGGGCAGGAAGAGTGGTTAAGGGAAGTGGGATGAGCACTGTCAGATTGATTGTCAGGTCTAGTCACTTGGTCCTCAGCCAAGTCCTCAGCTGCCATGATGGAGGTCAATAATTCTTTGCTTTAAACTCATATTATTTCATTTATGTTGGTTTTGGTTTGTGGATTAACCACAAGGTATATAAGAAACATGCAGTATAGTTAAGAATAAATTACACAGAGTTTTGGAGGGAAGATCAGAGACTCCAAACTATCCATTACTTACTTGAAGCTGAAATTGTGTTTTATCTTCAGGGCTTCTTTACCCATAATTAAATACTGTCTTCCTTTTACCAGGTCAACGTTTGCACAGGTCATCTTTTTAATGAAGGTGATTTCGGAATCTTTCTCAGCAACAGCCTCCCCTGAGAAACATACAGGAGGGGTTATCACATTCACGTTCTAATGCCACAATTATGAACTCTTAAGCTGTCCAGGTCCTCATGGCTACTGAGAGGTTAGTGGCTATTGGAGATTGGCAATATCCACTTGGTTAAGACTTCAGATTCTGGAGCCAGACTATCTGGCTTAGTCCCAACTGTGCCATGTCCTGGCTGTGTGGCTCTGGTCATTGATTTAAGCTCTCTGTATTCAGTCCTCTCACCTGGAAAATGGGCATGATGATATAATTCACATTGTAGAAGTGGGTTATATCTGGAACGTGCTCAGCACATAGTAAGACTTACATGTATTTGTTACTATTGTTCTTGTAGACCCAGAATTATTATTCAGTGGTTGAACAATATTAATCTCATTATATTGAAAAAGATAGAAGTATTTGGTAGCTGGCAATGATCAACTTGCTAGAAAAGTACAAGATGTGAAAGACTTGGAAAATTTTATGGAGAATGACTTTAGGATTCCCAAAGGACTTAGAAGTAGCCAAGAAGTTGGCTCCCCTATCAAGAATGGTTTCCTCTCTGTGTTGGCCTGTTGAATTTTACCTGTTGAATTCTCCTTTAATTAAGTCCAACTTCAATTCTGACAGTATCTAATAAACCTCCCTGTTTACCCTCTGTCATAAGAATAATGGTGACTGAGCCCAGGGTTTTGAGCATGTTTACTGTTGAGCTGTACCCTCAGGCCTTCCCTCCCTCCTTTATATCTGAACTTCTACCACAGTGTTCCACCTACATCTCCTCATGTAGACTAGATACTTCTTGAGGTAGGGACTGTGTCTGACGCCCTGCTATATTATTAGTGGCTGATACCCAGCTGTTAAACAGTAACATGGTCATCCTAATTGTTAAATTCCAAAATGTTTTGAACTTGTTAGCAAATAGTGTATAATAGTAACTGTGTTCATGGCAAACTTTCATTAGTAACATAAATTATACCATACACTCAGTTCGAGGGTGTCCCAATGCCATAGCTTCCTGATATGGCATCATCTGAGCCATACCCCCCAACACTTATCAATTTAGCCACTGTCATAGCAAGAAATGTGGGTACATTGGGCCTTACATTTAAAAGCTTTTTGAGGTGAGGTATACTGGGGTTTGAACTCAGGACTTTGTACTTGCTAGGCAGGTGTTCCATTACTTCAGCCAGGCCTTCAGCCCCTTTTTGTTTTTAGGTTATTTTTCAGAGAAGGTCTTCTACTTTTTGCCTGGGCTATCCTTGGACTATGATCCTCCCAATCTCTGCCTCTTCAGTAGCTGGGATTACAGGCATGCACTACTGTGTACAGCCTTTAAAAACTTTTTGTTAGTGAAGAGTTTCAAGCATATTCAGAAGAAGGGATCATAGTTGATTAACTCCAGCTTCAACAACCACAAATCTTTTTTTCCATCTATATCCTCACCTACTCAAAGCACCCTGTGCTTGGGATGAATACAAATCAATATTATCCTCGAATGACACAGTTCACCTTGGTTCTAAATGGTTTCTTGTTAGTGTGCAGCAATTCTTATACAAGTAGGAAGTGTGTGGTATCTTGCTACTTACACAAGTTCAAAATTTATAGTAAGTATTAAACATTCAGAATCAGGAGGTAAAGTATGTAAAAACTGCTTAACATTTCCTTTTAAGTGTCACAAAAAGTAACTGCTGAATCTATGGAACAAAGGAGAAATGACTCTAATTGAGGACTTGCGTGACGTTCAAAACAGTTTGGAATGTCTTTTGATACTATACAAGAATTGATAGGAAATAAAACAAATCATTTATGTTTCTGGGATGAAAAACTCTTTATTACTTCAGTTAAACAGAAATGGTAGCATATGCTGTAACTTGGGAGGCCAGCAGTTCAAGGCCAGCCTGAACTGCATAGTGAGACCTGCCTCAAAATGAAAACAAAAACAAAAACCAAAAGCAAACCTGCACTCTATGTTTATTGTAACATTATATACAATAGTGAAGCTATGGAATCACCCTAGGGGATCAATAACGAATGACTGGATAAAGAAAATGTAGTATATATATATTATATATATACATATATATATGTATATATATATATATATACAATGGAGTATTATTTAGCAATAAAGAAGAAGAAAATTATGTCATTTGCAGGAAAATGGATGGAACTGGAGATCAACATGATAAGTGAGATAAGCCAAGCTCAGAAAGACAAATATGGCTTGTTTTCTCTCATATGTGGAATCTAGACCTAAAAAAATGACAACGATGACATGATTGTAAAAGGGATACTGTTTTTTTGGGGGGAGGAAGTCAATGGGAAAAGGGAGGAGGAAAGAAGAGGATGATGAGTGGTGAATATGATCAAAGTTATGTTATACATATGTTTTAAAAAGCATAATGAAAACCACAAAACACTGTTAAAATGGAGGGGGGATAGGGAGGAGCTAAGAAAGAGTAATATAGATCAAAGTGTGTTATATACATGTACAATTCATTTATATTAATAAAAAATCAAGAAAGAAGGAGAAATGATTCATTATTGCTTCTGATGTGAATGTTGAATGCAAATGGAGCTTAACAGTTGGATGGTGGGATGGTGGAAGATCATACTGTAAAACACAGTTTTCATCCGAATGGCAATCAGGATTCCAATAAAGAAAGCTCATGACCATCAATGAAGAAAAGTGAAATAACATCACAAATTGCTTCCATGCAGAGAAAGGCTCCACATAACAAAAATAAGGAAACATTTTTTTGTCAATGTTGATAAAGCAAACACAAATTTGGAAAGTATTATTAGAATTTTTAACCATATCTAGAGTATAATTTAAAATAATCAAGCATTTTCAGACTTCAAGTACTTGATAGAATTTCAAAAGAGGAAAAAAACCAATATAAATATAGTATTAAAATTTAGACTTCTGGTCCTACTTATTGCAGAATTTATATCTACTGAAATGAGAAGACAGGTTTTTGGAAGTTACAAGCAAGGTAATAAAATAAATTTTAATTATTATTGAATAAATCAACTATTTTATTTAAAAAGTGTTTTAAGTAAGTTAAAGTGAAATGTTGAAGACTGAGGATGGCTCATAGATTTTCTTCATCTCAAAGCCCTGAAAGGACAACTGAACAACATATCAAACTGTTTTGCTGAGGTCTGGGATAAAATGATTCAATGAGAAATATTTATATGAACATTTTTAAGAACATGTCTCCCCAGGTAGAATATAAACCTTATGAAGGCAGAAACATGGCTATCTTATTCAAGTTGTACCTTCTGTGTCTTATCTAATGGTGGGCACATAGTAAGCGCTTACTATTTGTTAAAAGAAGGAATGAGTGAATGTGGGCGTGGCAGCTCACTCTTTAATTCTAGCTACCAAGGAAGCAGAGATCAGAAGCATGAGGCCAACTGGGCAAAAAGTTTGCAAGACCCCATCTCAACCAACGAAAAACCTGGGTGAGGTGGTGCACACCTGTCATCCCAGCTACACAGGAGGCATAAATAGAAGGATTGGTCCAGGATGGCTGGACCCTATTGCAAAAATAACTAAAGCAAAAAGGTCTGGAGGTGAGTTTTACGTGATAGAGTGCCTGTTTTTCAAGCACAAGGCCCTGATTTTAAACCAAAGTACTGAAAAAAAAATCTCACCTGTTTTGTAGACATCCAGAAGAGTTGCAGTGTACTTGACAAAAACATTTTCTTCAGTGATGGATGTGATGCTTACTTTATAAGCTGATAACAAAACAAGCAGGACAAAAATGAAATAGTTCAAGTTGAATATCACTAATGCCATGCCCAATAAAAAACATGATTTGTCCAACAGATGAGAAATGTAGCTTGGCAAACTACTGTGGCACTTGAAGTAGATCTTATTTCTTTCAAGGAACCATCCTAAACCCACTCAAACTATTAGACTCTTTAGTCCACTGTTGTAGAGCAGGCTGGTTAGGATAAGAGCCCTACTAAATGAAACAGCAGACAAACTTACATTAGCTGTGAAGTCTGATGCCTTTCACTTATGATTAGTGGAGTCATGTCCACGGTCACACTTCCTTCTCTTACCCACAGAGGGGGCCTCTGTCCACTAGTCAGACCTACCCCACCATGTGAGCTGCCTTGCTTCCTTGAACAGCTTCACTGCTTTTGATGTTTCCCACTCAGCTTTGTCTGGATTAGCAACTGTCTGACATGAGCCACCCCAATCCCATTTTTTGAAGACTTAGGCACTGATGTTTGATATATGGTATATTTGACCTCACCTCTGGAATGACCAGCTTAAAGGGAACTATTCCATCTATTGGCCCCATACAAGACCCTTTAATTTTTGTTTTTGATGGGGTTGAAATGAAAGACCTAAAAGGTTTGTCCATTTTTGAGATCCATCCAGTATAAGTCTATTTCAAATATAGATAAGTGATAGATAGATGAATTCACTGTGGTGGAATTGAAGGTTATGTAAGTTATTGGCTTAAAATGTAATAAAAATGTCCTGAATTTCAGATTTACAAGTCTTTTGGTGAGGATAGGGAATGCTAGTATGAGGACATGGATAACGAGAGCAATTTTATTTTGTTTCTTTGTGCTATTCCAGTAACAGTCTATGGTCTCCAGAAAGAGCCAGATAAGTCTTTTCTTGAAAATAATATGATAAATCCAGGTTGCATTTATTCTCTGTATTAAAATAGGTTTCTGACAAAGAAGAGTTAAAATAGTTGTAAAATGGAGGGAAGAAATTACTCAGTGCATTTTTTTTGTTTGCTGAAACAATATTGTCTTCAAGTCCTGATATATTTAAAAAGCTGCAGTGGGTCTTGGCTGAGCCAGGCAGTTTCTTAGCATTTTTAAAAGTCAAGATGAATTCAAAGGGAAGAAATACTGTAATCCATATAAAATTCATTCTGATGGCTCTATTTTCATTAAGAGGATTCTTTAGACTATTATGGAAATAATAGTGGGGACCAGGATGCACTCTATTCTACTACTTCCTACCTGACCTTTAGCCTCAGTTTCTTCACTGGTAAAACATTGATAATGGGCTATTACCTTGAAGGGTTCTTATGGAACTCCAATGAAAAACCAGATATGAAAACAGCTGGTAGATACAAAGTAACAACCAGCTGTACTAATTTAACTTGGAAATAACAATCTTCAAATTTCCAAAAAATGATTTGAGATAGTCTACAATATGATCTCTCTGCAAAAAAGTGTCAGAAATAAACATGGGAAATGAAAGATAGAAGAGAAAGGTGTCAATTCTATCAGGAACCTGAAAATAAGGCTACAACTGTACTTGGGCACTGATTTAGATCTGAACTCTGAACAACCAGAAAGACCCTCCTTTTGAAACAAAGAGGGTTTCAGACATAACCCTGCACATATAAAAAATTATTTAGTAGTTCTATATTTACCTTAAAAAAGATTTTTAAAGAAACAACTTCTTCAAATCACCCTGGCCTGTGCCTCTGCTCTGTCAGCTATAAGAATACACAACTGAAATCTTATACCTCTGTGGCTTCTCAAAAGTTCCCTTCCCTTTGAATGTGTTTTAGTGCTTATAATTCAAAAGGATCTATTAGGGTAGAATGTCTTTGCTGGGTATGCATGTCACTTCCATTATTTTTAATGAAAATCACATTTCTTTGCTGAAGAATATGTAACTGTACATTAATTCTGAAAACTGATGGCATTTTCCCTCAAGAGAACAAATGGAGTATTATAGCCACACAATCACTCTATAAAGCTTTTGATCTTTCTGATTCTGATTTCATGTATTCATAAAATTTCATTTAAAAAAGTACTCTATTAAACTTTTGAACCCACCATATGCAATCTCTGGTTTACACGCTGTTTCTTTTCTGGTATCTGCAGAGATTGTCATATCCAATTCTTTCTGTTTTTGCCCACAGTCAGCTGGATCATGAGACAAATGATAAGAGTTAAGTTAATGTAAAAAAAGGCAGACACTCTTTTTAAGATTGAGAGTTGTTTCTTATGAGCCTTGAGACAACCCAGTATAATCTTACAAGTGCCAGATTTCTAAGACTTCTCCAATTTTTTTCTTTCTTAAAGTGCAATATTATTAAAGCAAAAACAAAACCAACCAACCAACCAAACAAAAACATGAGACTTATTCTTAGAATGAGTATTCACTCCACATTCAACTCTTTAAGAATATATATGCTTCTTTTGAAGAGAAGGAAAATGTTTTTTCACTTTTGAGTATAATGTAAAGTTCCTTGAAGGACTTAACATACAGCTATAAAATTTTACAATAAGGACTTAGGAAATAAGAAAGAAAGGAGAAAAAACCCAAACCCAAGTCAACCCAGTTGTTGATTATTGCAGGTTCTGGGTCTTTTTCTTGGCCAAAAAAGACTGTCTTTGATTTACAAGAGATTAAATGGAAGCAGACAATACAGAGAACTCTGTTAACAGGAAGGAAAAGCGGCCCTGACTCTCTCTTCTCTTGGGTTGTGGTCCTATATTAAAAAGATCAGGTGAGCTGGTCCTGGTGGCTTATATCTGTAATCCTAGCTACTCAGGAGGCAGAGATCAGGAGGATGGTGGTTTGAAGACAGCCCAGGTAAATAGTTTGTGAGACCCTATCAAAAATACCCATCACAAAAAAAGGGCTAGTGGAGAGGCTTAAGGTATAGGCCTTGACTTCAAGCTCCAGTACTACAAAAAAAAAAAAGACCAGTTGAAAGTAAAATTTCATATCATGTACCCTATGACACCCAAGAACCATCTGGATGGTGCTCCTCTATTCCAGTACGGTATTCCACCAGGTTGTTGAGGGGCTGTGAGGAAGCTTTACAACACCCAGGGAATCATCGTTTTCAAGTAGCAGAGATTACATTTCTCCTGAAAAGTGATAGTTGGCTAACAGCTTCCCTCATATGACCTCCAGATTGAGTGGCTGTTTTAAACAAGCATGCAGCCTCCACATTGTCAAGGGAAGCTTACCTTCTACACACCTGCATGTTGCTCCTTCACAGACTTTCTGAAGTTTGGTGTCAGAAGTGCTATGAAACATGGTGCACTGTTTATCTGTGGCAATAAGAGCATGGTGACGAGAAGTGGCTTGATCGGTGCATCACACGTTTGCTGATCATGAGTCTTCTACAAAGGGGCTTAAAGACTGCCTATTCCAAATGCTCCTCTGTGGCTAGGGCCCCAGGAGGTTAGATTATGAATGCGTGTCTTGGGAAGGGCACCTGTGTCCTCAGAAAGACCTCCCCTGTTGCTGAGTTCTGTGCTTGTAATTTTCTTATTCAATATTAATTGTTTAGAATGAAGGTATTTGGTGCTCCCATGAATGAGAAGAAAGTAAATTATGTTATATGAGATCTATTGAAGGGATTACAGTCGTCAGGCTGGACAAGAGCACATATACATAACAATATGTATATGTACATCATATATATGTATATTCTACATATATGTATATATATGCAAGAGGGCTACATATGTTCTACATGATTTCAGAAGGTAAAATTAGAATGAATGGCTGTCAGAGTTTGGTTCACTTAAAGAATTTTCTAACAAACAGAACTTTCCAAGGTCTCGGAGAGTCATCTGTCTTGAGCCAAACGAGCTCTCCAATCAGTTAACGTCCTCAGCAGTGACTGAGTAGTCAGACGTGAGATCATTTACTCAATAAACACTTACTGAGTACATGTCAAGTAGCTACACTTTGTTGGGTTTGATGAGAGAGATATACAAACAAATCATTTTAATGCAATGTGGCTGCTGCCATAAAAGGTCTGTGCAAACTAGCGGAAATACAGATAGGGTGGAAGTTGTCCTGGGAGAACTGAAGCATTAGAAGGTGAAGTGCGCTTCTCTAAAGAGGAGAGAGCCAATGAATATAGACATTGAACAGTGGCTTGAGGCAAAGAAACTTAAAGTTGGGGGCAAGAGAATCCAGTTAATTTGAAAATGAAGAAACCGAGGACCGAGATGTGAAATGATTTGAGTAATGTCATGAAGTAGCTTGAATATAATATTAAAAAAAAACTTATATGCAATAGTTTGAAGTAGTTCAGGCTAGGACTTTTATGAAGTAGGCTTTAAGAGAGGTAAATATATAAAACCTACAGGACTTGTGGATTTTTAAAGGTTATGTGAAGAATAAAGTAGCCTTTTGAAGGAGTTTTAGAGTTACATCGATTACCTGGTCTGTGATATTCATACACTGTGAAAGTAGCAGGATTCTGAAGCCCAACTTGGAAAAGTTCAAATATCCGGAATCGGACACAAAGGTACTTATTGGAGGGAATCTGGTTGAGAAATTCAAGCATTTAAGGAAATTATGGGAGAGAATATATTCATAATGATTTAGCCTGAAATTTTTGAGTAACACAGGGCAAATGTCGGGAGGTGGAGCTTACCGAATTCAGTTGCAGAAAAACATGTCCGTCTTTGATTTGGTAATCAGTTAACAATTGATCTACCCCTTCCACAAGCTAAGGAAGGAAAGGAAAAGCCTCAATTCAAATTCATTATCTTTATGTTTAATTGCACACCCTTTGTTAGTAGAATGTTAAGCCACAGGCAGGTAATCCACTACTCAAAAGTAATTCCTCTTCTTGAAAATGTCTGAACACATTAGTACACACACTTACATTTTCCAGATGATGCAAGTCCTTCACTTGTATGAATCAAAAGTTAGGTGGATTATTGTTTTGGAAAGAATACTTTTGGTGACTGTGTGAAAGTGACATGTTTAAGTAAAAGGCTATGCATTTGTCTATTAAATACTGCAAAAAAGAAATCCAAGCATTCACAGTAACAGTTAAAAAGAAAATACTTGCAGCTCGTAAGTCTTCCTGGTCTGCACTGATTCCGGTCGGCAGAGAGATATCCATCACTGCATGGGAGGAGCCTGATGAAGACTCCCCACTACTGGGCTTGTAGCTAAAACAAACCAGCGATTCGGAAACAGAGTAAATAAATGGACAAGATTCTTTAAGAAAGGGCCCTAGTCTCTAGCAGGCTTTACTTTTTGAATTTGGATCTCCATTTAGTTGTTCTTCTACCATATTAGAACCTCTGAAGTTTAGAGTTGCAAGTGATCTTTGAGTCATCTATTGTAACTCTTTCCTTGACTTGACTAATGGCCTTAATGGGCCACTATTTGGGAACATAGAAATCAACCATTCTCAGTGAACTAGCTGGGGAAGCTGAGGAAGAGAGGAAGGCACTAGTTCAAGTGGCTACAGCTAGTTCATATACAGCTGCATATGAATCCAGGTTTCCTGATTCCCACTCTAGCTCTTTTTCTAGTGGCCTATATTCCAGGTTAAAAATTAGTTGTATATTGAGAAAAGAGACTCAATAAACATGTCCAGGAATAGACAAGAAGACAATACACTAAAATGCTAGCAGTAACTTTCTCTGGATGATAAGATTATATTTCATTACATCTCTTCTTTCTGTGTTTTTCTCTGCTTTCTAAATTTTCTACCATAGATACTTTCTTTAAAAAATAATGCTTCAAGGACTATCCCTTGTTTAGGAATTATACTAGTGGGAAGTTAGATAGAAAGGTAAGGGCAAAATGGGAGGACTTATTTCATTTCATTTTATTTTTTATGTGTGAGAAAAAACACTGAAAAAAGGAATCAGGAAACTTGGGTTTTATTCCCGTTCTACTGAGCAATTTCTATAAATCATTTTCCCTTTGTAAGCTGAGTTTCTTATTTTTATAATTAACTGTGAAGAAGGATAAACTTGTGATTTAAATTTATGTTTCTGATTCTGAGGCTTTGGCTTTGGGTGGCAGAGCACTGGTGCTATTGCTAAGCAGAGTTAGAGGCCTGACAGGAGGGATGGGCTGGGGGCAGAGCAGGCAGGTCAAGGGCAGAGAGCACATAGCTCTAGATAAATTGACCTTCAGGTTCCAACCTCACCTAAAGATCCTTGAGAGGCAGCTGTATATTTGAGGCTGGCGCTTGGAAGACTAGTGAGGATGAGAAAAAGAAACTGAGAAGACAGCTTCATAAGGGGAAAATGAATTGCTCTCACGGTGGAGACTGTCTAAGAAAAGGTTGCTGGAGCCTTGATGACTGGTTGCCATGGAGACTGTTTCAACCATGGAACAGAAATCCTCCTTTCAAGAAGCCTTTTGCCTGCTGCCAAAACCAGCAATCTTCCCCAAAGGCATTTTGTTGCAGAGAAATGAACCCCCCCCCCTTTTTCTTATGAATACAAAAGAGAGGTTGTAAAAAACTGAATACACGAAAGAGACCCTCTGAACACAGAAACTATGTGCTGTATTTTTTTCTTAATCAAGAGAATATTCGGAGGCAAAGGATTTCTTACACAAATAAGGACTACACAGTTGCTATTGGAATTTACCCAACCTAACTTCAGTGTCACAGAGCCAAAAGTATATTCCACCCGCCTTTTTTTTTTTTTGAACATTCTGTCCCCAATTTGTAAAAACCAAAGGACAGACTATTCAGTATTATATTTTTACTTGTTTTCTTATGTACATTGACAATCTGGGATTGGGCTTCCTGTAAATGAAAAATGAATGAGTTTTTCATGAGCCTTTTTATGTATATAGCAGAGCTGGGGACAATTAGAACTGGCGGGACTTAGAGGTAAGATCGTCCAGTATCCTGCTTTATAGGAAAGGTGGGGAGAAGTAAACTGACTCACTGAACACCACTTGAGTACTCACTGGAAGAGCTTACTACTTATTGGCAGTACTTAGCCGTGCCACTCATGGTCAGAGAGCCCTTCTTCAAGCCAACTCTAGGTACCTCCCTGTCGGGTCACAGGCATTGATTCTAGCTCTCCTCAGAGGCTTGCTCATACCTCCCTGTGACAGTCATGAGTTTGAAGGTAACTCCTAGCTAATAGGTGCTAAGAGCAGGAATCGTAGTTGGGAGGAAGAAAGATGCCTGGGAAAAGGAGCCCTTAATGGAAAGACATTAGGGAATGAGGAAAGATGTTTGGAAGGGAACAGAGAGCAGGGGCTTGCCAAGTGAGGAAGTGGGGACTGCTGGAAGGAAGGAATGCTGCCAAGACAGGAAGCACACTTAGGTAGTGAATGAATCCTGAGAAGAAAGAGATGAGACTCAGGACTACAACCAAGGCTGAGGAACAGCTGGGAGGGAGGCAGTGAAAAATACTTTGCTGTTCCTTGGGATTAATGCTCTCAGATTACACTGATTGAAAGAGGTGGTTTAGATACTGGATTGGACATCAGAGGGTCAGGGATTTGAGGCCCTGGCTCTGCCTCTAATTTTTGTGAGAACTTGGCAGGTTACTTCACCTCTTTTGATCTCAGTTTCTTTATTTCTAAAATAAAGGGATTTCTATATCGTCTCCAAAATTCTTTTTCAGTTTGAATCTACTATATAATACTATGGAATTTCCAAATTATCCATATTGAATGCTTTGGCATCACGTGTGATTACATACAGAGATAGCAAAAGGCCATCCACAGATGTCACCGTTACTCACGGCACAAAGAGTTAAGGAGACAGAACACAACAGGAAGGAGTGGGCAGTGATGGAAGGAAGACAGAAGGCTGTCTTCTAGTCCTGGCTCTGCCACTCACTGTTCACTCTGTGATCACTAAAGCCCAAAATTATATGCGTATTTTCAAAACCACTGTACCCTTTCATAAGCATTTTAGGATGGCAGCTGTAGTAAGCAGACTAATGGCCTCCAAGGGTGTCCCTGTGCTAACCTCCCAAACCTGTGAATGTGTTTAGCTTATGTGGCAAAAGGGACTGTACAGATGTGATTAAATTAGGAATTTCAGATAGAAAGTTTATTGTGGATTATCTGGGTGGGGCCAATGGAACCAGAAGGGTCTTTATAAAGGAAAGAAGTAGGAGAGTCAGAGAAGGATGTGATAATGGAAGCAGGGGACAGAGACAGAGCCTGGAAGATGCTGCAGTGCAGTGTTGAAGATAAAGGACGAGGCTAGAGGCCGAGGAATGTAGGTAGCCTCCAGAATCAGGAAAAGGCAAGGAGACAGATTCTTCTCTAGAGCTTCCAGAAGAAATATCGCCTTGCCAACTCCTTGACTTTAGGACTCTTACCTCCTTACAATTGTAAGATAATACATTTATTTTGTTTTAACTCATTAAGTTTGCAGAAAATTGTTACTAGCAGCAATAGGAAGCCAATACACTGGTGAACTTAGGTTTCTGTGTTCAGTCTGCAGGTGTTTTCACGTGAATGTTTCTTGACCCTGGCTGTATTAGAATGACCTCTGGGGGTTGAATCTGAACTTTGGACGTTTCTGGAATTCTGACTTCAGTGTGCCATCTGAGTTCAGAACTACTGGCTGATGTTGATCAGGGATTTTGTTTGGTGAATGCAATTTTTTGCTGTGGGAACAGGAGCCACTTATGAGAGATCTTTACATTTTCTTTTCCTGATAATTATATCACATCTCTATTCTCTGAAAGACTAAAAAAGTTATACTGTGTGAATCAGAAGAAGACAGAAACAGGAGAGAAAGTTATCAAAGATGTTCTTTTTAAGAATTCCTGTTATATTTTTCATTTAAAAAATGAGCAATTTAGTATCTTCTGGATACATGTTAAAATGATCAAAATAAGACCTTAGTCAGGTATGGTGGTGCATGTCTATAATCCTAGCACTAGGAAGGCTGAGGCAGGAGGATGGTGAGTTTGAGGCCAACGTGGGCTACATAGTGAGACCCTGTCTCAACAAAACAAGCAAAAAGAAAGACCTTGAAATCTCTACTCCACTTTGTGGAAATGGGCTCACCTGGCACATGCTGTTATACGTTTGTATCCGGAGTCACCATAGCCACTGTAGCGGGATGCTAACACACACAACAAACAAGCAAACAAATAAACACATATAGGGTAAACTGGTTTTAGTTGTTTTTGAATCTGTCAAAACAGAATCATTAATGAACAAATCTCTGAACATACTTCTAAATGACTTGTGGCATGCAAATTGGCACTCTTGATGATTTTAATGGTAACTCACGGCTACTAACAGTACCAGGGAGTCTTTAAATAATTAGAGAAGTTCTCTGCTCTCAGAGAACTTAGAATTTAAAAAGAATCATTTAAGAAAAGTGTGTATTGGTAATGGGTTTGGGGATTTTGGAGGGAGGAAGAACAGATGACTGGATTGGCTGGTAGTTGGAATGTTCTTATAAGCCCAGGCCTCTGAGCCACACATGGACAATAGCAGAGTAGAGGCAGAAGCATACACTCTGACCCTGGGGCAAAGGTCAGAGGACAAGGACTGGAGAGTACAAGAGGATCTGCTTTTGGACCAGGAAGTTAGAACCAATCAACAGAGGCATGGGAAGGCCATAGGCTTTTTAAAAAGTGTGTGTGTGTGTGTGTAAGACTTTAAGTACTAGAGAGACCAAAGTAAAGATGGAGGCAGAGACACGTACATTTGCTGGACCCCTGGGAATACAGAAAGGATAGTGCTAGAAAACTGATAGGGTTATTAGAGAATTCAGGGCCCTGGGGTAAAATCTGGACACAAAAGTAATAGAAATGCAAAGGAATTATTCCTTTTTGTGACTTTACAATAGGTACCATCTTTAAAAGTAACATAATAAAAAGCCTTCATCAATAGTGAATATAGTTAGCTTAATTATTAAATTATTTACTATATTTCCAACTATAATTAAAGAGTTACATCTATTATAATAAATGGCAACAATGTTTATTTAATTATATGAGTAGTAAGTACTGGATTAAGAATTTTGCTTTTATCTGAGCATGCACATTTTTCCTAATCAGGGAAGATCTCTAAATGACATTCTTTAAGTTTAACCAGAATTACAGTGTAACTTTTGTAAATGTCACAATGTACCCCCAGTACAACAATATATGATGATTAAAAAAGAGAAAAAAACCAAAATGACAGTGTAAAAAAAACTGTTTTACCTTCAATGTCTTGGGTATCAATTTTCAAATAAAAGTTGCAAACTTCTTCTGAGGTACTGGTTTTGTGCACTACAGTTTTCACCTACAAGTGGACATGGAAACAAGAAGATTCTGCTTACAATGGGGAAATGCAAAGGTCCTATGGAAGCACTATTGCTGCAAACAGGACACTTAAAGTATCATTTTCAGAATCCAGTACAAATGGTACACATTAATGACTCATTTTCCCAGCAGCTGGACTTTCAGCAACCTCCACAGTCTGATACACTGCTGAGAGGACCAGAGTAAGCAAAAAAAAAAAAAAAAAAGATCCTGGCCAGGCAGAATCTTGGACCAAATCCCATGCAGTCAAATCTGAGCACCTTACTCTACAGAGACGTTCCCAAGGCTCTTGTCCCTGAGCCCATACTCTTAAACTTTACACATTGCAGTGCAAGGGTAGGACGCCTGGCTTTCTCCCCCCATTCCCCCCAGCCAAAGCAAACAACACAGTTGGGATGAGTTTGGATGTGGAGGGTTTGTCCACATTGAAATAGGCATATTGAGAGCAACCAGAAGTAATAGAAAAATAGACAATCCACCCCCACCATACAATCTCATAGACAGTTCTTGAAGGAATAAATAAGAACATAGTTGGGCGCTGGTGATTCATGCCTGTAATCCTAGCTACTTGGGAGTCTGAGATTAGGAAAATTGCAGTTCAAGGCCAGCCCAGACAAATAGTTCTTGAGACCCCCATTTCCAAAATAACCAGAGCAAAATGGACTGTAGGTGTGGTTCAAGTGGTAGAGTGCCTGCTTTGCAAGGGTGAAGCCCTGAGTTCAAACCCCAGTTTCACACACACACACACACACACACACACAAAAAATATATATATATAAAGAGGATAATTACAGAACATGCAGCTTAAGACTGCACTGACTGCACTGACATAGACAAAGAGCTTAGAAAAACTTGCGGCTAAACTGAAAAGAAACTTAAGCTTTTGCAAGTAATATGTCAGTCCCCAGAGTTGCTGGATAAATGAGATGTCTGTTACTAACCACAGAATGCACACACATATCACATATACACATACATGTAATGTGTTATATGCCTGTGTACATATGTAACCACATGTAGTTATTTATGTACCACAGTTATGTAACAATGGGAGCACACCCTGAGAAATGAGTCATTAGGCAATTTGGTCATTGTGTGAACTTCCTAGGGTGTACTTATCTAAACTAAGACGGCTATGACATCATAGGTGATAAAGTCTTATGGGACCATCATCATGTGTGTGGCTCATCTCTGACAGAAGTGTCATTCTGAGGCACATGAAGTATGTAAATTACATACATAATTTCTACAGATATACAGATGATATACGTATGAGGATTAACACAGTCACCAAAAATAAATTATGAGGACAATTGTCAAGACAGCTAGAAAGAATTATGTAAATGATTGCTACTTTAGTCATGGCTATCTAAGCTCCAAATTCTGTGACTTTTTTGCAAAGTCCTTAACTTTTATGTTATCTAGTAAAACTGACACATTCATAACTTCTAATGGCTCTCACTTCAATACTCACATGCACTGTAGCCAAGCCATTGCTAAATCCCGTACTGATAATGAGGTCATCATTGAGAGGCACCTGGAAAGATGGACAGAAAACCATGCTTTAGTTCGTCATGCAGTAGGGAGGGAGGACAGAGAAACAAAAGGAATGGGTGGACAACTGCCAGCCCACTCAGAGCTCTTGTGATATTAGATGGCTAAGAAAATTCTATGCCACAGTAGGCACCAAAAGATGCTGGAATTTCCCCATCTCTTCTACATGTGGATAAGATGCTTGAGATCTGGGTGAGCTAACAAAACCAACATGAGAGGTCACTTTTGGTTGCATTTGCATATATTTATGTGGTTCTAGTAAAAACTGGACCTTCATTTCCTTTTGCCAATTGAATAATTTCTTTCTGTGTCTAGCTCAGGAATTGGTATCCTATGTACCAATGGAGATTGTTTTCATTAGCACTGAGATTCATGACTCTAATGTGGGTGTGAAATGTCTTTGCCCCCCTACTATCTTCCCCTTTGCATCCCTCTTCCATCTGTTGATGGTTCATCTTTCCTACTTGTCACTGGCTTTTTGTGTCAAAACCCTTAGCACCCCATCAAGCCTGTTCAATCCACCATTGCTGTTGCTTCCACTCTGCTAGGAGGAAAGAGGAGACATGAACCGAGTTAAGCAATTATCCTCTCCAGAGAAGTCCTAGCCAAATAAGTATGGGAGAGATCATTGTGAGCAAGGCCTGAATCAGAGTTAGTTCTTCCTTTACTACGGGTCGTCAGCTCCCCCTTCCCTCTGCTTAGCCCACTAATGCAAGGGGAAACAGCATGCACTGATGTTTGTCAATCTTTACTGCAAATTTTACTGAGCCTAGGAAAATAGGTTTTCTTATTCTCCCTGATAGAAGATAGCACACATTTCCTGGAGAACAAGTGTCTTAAGATGCTGCAAAAGAAAAGTTACTATGGACAAGTGAGTCTCAGAAAAGGCATGTACTGTGCCCCGCCTCTGAACCTCTTCCTCCCAGAGTCATGACACTTAGTCACATACATATTAAGAGCAAGAGAGTCCTGTATTAAAGAAGTTATTCAACTCCCTTAAACTAGAGTTTCCATGATTACTTGACTACCCAGCATTCCTTCATGTAACACATTTCAGGAAATTCTGGTACAGAGAATTCTGAAATAGATAACAACAGTCTGGGTTTCACATCGAAGCAGCATCCAGGGCCCAGGTTCAAGTTATTTTAGGATGACAGGAGGCCCTGTATGGTGTTACCTAGTCACTTCACAGAAGCCTACCAAGCTCCTCAGGCCAACAGCTCCTCATTAAAGCTTAGACTCAAAACATGAATCTGGTGAATTTGAAATGCTCCAGGGATAGGAGACACCTTCCTAACCTTGAGACCACAAGCACAAATGCATATGAAAACACCATGCGACTGGTGGGGACCACAGCGACTGGAAAATGACATGGCAATGCCCAGAGCTCTGTTGCCAGCTCTTTTGATTTTTCAAGGGAAGTTGGGAATCAGATTTGTATTTGAAATTTCTGGATCTTTAAATGTTGGCAGAGACCTGTGTGTGTCCTTATCCATATCTTTTTTTCTTTTTTACTATGGGCCACTGGTTTGAAATTTTATTTCTCATGCCTATCCACTTTGCACAAGCAGAGATCTGTGGAGAATGTGGACAGTATGGAATAATCCCAATTATTTATATATTTAAACATACTTAATAATGCAAACATGATAATTAGAAAAATATGTATTAGTAGCTGGGAACTGGCAACTAATAACAGTAAAGAACCTACATCCCACACTATGTCCTTTTCTTTTGGAAATTTTCATAAGACATCAAAATTTTAGCTTTTAAAATTTCAGTAAAGAACATGAGGCAAGGAATTTGGGGACCTGAAGGCCAATTCCAATCTTCCTTAGTTCAGACTAAAAGGAACTGACTTCCAATCCTGTCTTCTTTTCCACGATGACACTACCTCTCTGTGTGATGTTACCTATATTTGGAATGCTCTTCTCTTTTCTTCCCCTGCTATGTCATTCTGATTCTTCCAGATTTAACCCACGCATCTGGACACACTGGACAACCCCAACCCCTACCACCTTTCAGTCTGAATCAGAAGGCTCCCCTCCACCGACCATGCTTCCATGGGCCTATCTAGACTCTTATTTTTCACTATCTGTTTCAAGGACTGTCTCACCCCTGTACCCAGGTTCTTTGTATTTTATACTTGTGAATTCCCAGTGCCTACTTAGGAAACAGCAGCCAATCAACGCATGTTTGAATAATGAATAAATACATTTGCAAAATAAGGATGGGACAGATGTTTTCAGTGGTCCCATCCAATTCTAAAATATTGTGAAAAAATTCATTTACCTCTACTGGCCTCCCAAGGAAATGCTTGTCTGTCACCTTATAATGGTAGAATTCACCTTTGTGCTTATAGGAGACACTGATATCCATATTCAGCTGAAGTTGTTTAACCAAGAGTGAATATTCTGTCAGGCCCTCGATGGCATTAATTGTATCCTGTCAATAATCAGCAAGGCATAAAATGTTTTATATATATTTATACATATAAATATATAAAGTGGTCTTATGAAAGGGTAGGCAGAATTGTCTAGAGATAAAAACCTAGCTGAGTGAGTGAAACCATTTAAGGGTCCCATTGTAGAGGAAGAAGTTCTCCCCTCCTTAATAAGGATGCTGCTGTTAGCAGGACAGGAAGGAAGTGTGGCCTCAGAGCCCTACACATTCTGCACTTGCAACCTCAGACAAGTCACTCTGCAAAATGCCCCTGACTCTGAATGCTTTCTCTTCCTCCTCCTTCAGTCTCAGCTTCAATATCTGCACAGTGAGACCACACTCTCTTCCTTCCATTTATTCTCTGTTTCTGCCCTTTCCAACATTCACCTCAATTTATAATCTTTTCATTGAAGGCTTATTGTGGTTCTTCCTCACTGTCATGTGATTCATGGAGAAAGTAGTAAGTATACCTCTCTCGGTGTCTGTGGTTTGATTCTGCCTCCTCCCAAGTTCAGGTGTTGGAAACGGAATCCCCAATGAGGCAGTATTATAAGGTAGAATGAGCACACTTTAAAATAGCAATAAAAGTATGGTATAGGGCAGGGGTGTAGTTTAGTGTAAAGCATGTGCTTAGCACGCACAAAGTCCTGGTTTCAATCCCCAGCATCCCTCCCCCAAAACATAAGTAAGTAAATAAACAAGTAACATAGTCATTTGTTTCCACAATCAAGTGTTATGCACTGTACACACTTGTATGTACTATACTTGTCCATGACGGGCATTGTAATGGGTTTGCTCAGACCAGTGTCACCACAAACACACGAGCAACATACTGTACAATGACACCACGATAGTAACTACGACATCACTAGGTAATAGGAATCTTTCACCTCTATTATATTCTTATGGGGCCACCGCTATGTATGCAGTTTGTCATTGACTGAAGCAATAAAACTGTCAGAGGAGAACGAAGCAAGCCAAGGACATGTTACCTGGGTCGAATAAAAGCCGCCTCCATACCTCTGCTCTTCAGATAGCCATCTGATGATGGGGTTGACATAGTTCATCTCCTTCAAGCTCAGGCTGGTGAGTAAAGCGTAGGCAGTGGTTTCCACCATACCTGCTGTACCAGTGGTAGGTGCAGAGCTGTCTGTACCTTGTTGATGATCTTTCCAAAACCGGTAAATGGGTGGATCACCTGTATCAACACACCACATTCATCAACAGGAGGAACAATGTGAATTTGACTTAATTCTAGCAGGTATATTATGGCCTTCTGGTTTCTAAAAGCTACTTACTTTCTTTGTGAGAAGAACTTCCTTAAGGTGACAATACAAACAAGATCCCATAATACAGTGCTACTTGTCTTTATTTAAAATGAGAAGACCACATGTACTAGGTAGAGGCAGAATAGTGGAGGAGAAAGTGCAATAAGCTAGGAATTAGTAGACTCAGGTTGTAGTTTGTTTACCAACAGTGTCAGTCTGGGCCAGTTCTTTAGTTCTGTGGGACCCAGTCTGGTAATACTTTAGGTAAGTGACACTTCCTTCTATGCAATGAAACTCAAATGAGATACTAAAGGGAAAAATATTTGTAAACCAGAAAGCTCCATGCACATAAAAAGGGTTATTATCATTATTGACACTACAAGATAAATTGGAGAACCTTTCTTCCTGAAGGAAAAAACTCACACCTGGAAATGATAAGATCACACCCAAATCCTTCAGTTACATTTTTTTTATTATCACCTCTCAATTCAAAGCACCAATTATGTCATATATGCAGCATTTTTCTTTTTTTTTTTCATTTTTCTTTTATTATTCATATGTGCATACAAGGCTTGGTTCATTTCTCCCCCCTGCCCCCACCCCCTCCCTTACCACCCACTCTACCCCCTCCCGCTCCCCCCCTCAATACCCAGCAGAAACTATTTTGCCCTTATCTCTAATTTTGTTGTAGAGAGAGTATAAGCAATAATAGGAAGGAACAAGGGCTTTTGCTGGTTGAGATAAGGATAGCTATACAGGGCATTGACTCACATTGATTTCCTGTGCGTGGGTGTTACCTTCTAGGTTAATTCTTTTTGATCTCACCTTTTCTCTAGTTCCTGGTCCCCTTTTCCTATTGGCCGCAGTTGCTTTAAGGTATCTGCTTTAGTTTCTCTGCATTAAGGGCAACAAATGCTAGCTAGTTTTTTAGGTGTCTTACCTATCCTCACCCCTCCCTTGTGTGCTCTAGCTTTTATCATGTGCTCAAAGTCCAATCCCCTTGTTGTGTTTGCCCTTGATCTAATGTCCACATATGAGGGAGAACATACGATTTTTGGTCTTTTGGCCAGGCTAACCTCACTCAGAATGATGTTCTCCAATTCCATCCATTTACCAGCGAATGATAACATTTCGTTCTTCTTCATGGCTGCATAAAATTCCATTGTGTATAGATACCACATTTTCTTAATCCATTCGTCAGTGCTGGGGCATCTTGGCTGTTTCCATAACTTGGCTATTGTGAATAGTGCCGCAATAAACATGGATGTGCAGGTGCCTCTGGAGTAACAGTCTTTTGGGTATATCCCCAAGAGTGGTATTGCTGGATCAAATGGTAGATCGATGTCCAGCTTTTTAAGTAGCCTCCAAATTTTTTTCCAGAGTGGTTGTACTAGTCTACATTCCCACCAACAGTGTAAGAGGGTTCCTTTTTCCCCGCATCCTCGCCAACACCTGTTGTTGGTGGTGTTGCTGATGATGGCTATTCTAACAGGGGTGAGGTGGAATCTTAGCGTGGTTTTAATTTGCATTTCCTTTATTGCTAGAGATGGTGAGCATTTTTTCATGTGTTTTCTGGCCATTTGAATTTCTTCTTTTGAGAAAGTTCTGTTTAGTTCACATGCCCATTTCTTTATTGGTTCATTAGTTTTGGGAGAATTTAGTTTTTTAAGTTCCCTGTATATTCTGGTTATCAGTCCTTTGTCTGATGTATATTGGCAAATATTTTCTCCCACTCTGTGGGTGTTCTCTTCAGTTTAGAGACCATTTCTTTTGATGAACAGAAGCTTTTTAGTTTTATGAGGTCCCATTTATCTATGCTATCTCTTAGTTGCTGTGCTGCTGGGGTTTCATTGAGAAAGTTCTTACCTATACCTACTAACTCCAGAGTATTTCCTACTCTTTCTTGTATCAACTTAAGAGTTTGGGGTCTGATATTAAGATCCTTGATCCATTTTGAGTTAATCTTGGTATAGGGTGATATACATGGATCTAGTTTCAGTTTTTTGCAGACTGCTAACCAGTTTTCCCAGCAGTTTTTGTTGAAGAGGCTGCTATTTCTCCATCGTATATTTTTAGCTCCTTTGTCAAAGATAAGTTGCTATAGTTGTGTGGCTTCATATCTGGATCCTCTATTCTGTTCCACTGGTCTTCATGTCTGTTTTTGTGCCAGTACCATGCTGTTTTTATTGTTATTGCTTTGTAATATAGTTTGAAGTCAGGTATTGTGATACCTCCTGCATTGTTCTTTTGACTGAGTATTGCCTTGGCTATTCGTGGCCTCTTGTGTTTCCATATAAATTTCACAGTAGATTTTTCAATCTCTTTAATGAATGTCATTGGAATTTTGATGGGAATTGCATTAAACATGTAGATTACTTTGGGAGTATCGACATTTTTACTATGTTGATTCTACCAATCCATGAGCATGGGAGATCTCTCCACTTTCTATAGTCTTCCTCAATCTCTTTCTTCAGAAGTGTATAGTTTTCCTTGTAGAGGTCTTTCACATCTTTTGTTAGGTTTACACCTAGGTATTTGATTTTTTTTGAGGCTATTGTAAATGGAATTGTTTTCATACATTCTTTTTCCGTTTGCTCATTGTTAGTGTATAGAAATGCTAATGATTTTTCTATGTTGATTTTATATCCTGCTACTTGCTATAGCTATTGATGATGTCTAGAAGCTTCTGAGTAGAGTTTTTTGGGTCTTTAAGGTATAGGATCATGTCGTCTGCAAATAGGGATATTTTGACAGTTTCTTTACCTATTTGTATTCCTTTTATTCCTTCTTCTTGCCTAATTGCTCTGGCTAGGAATTCCAGTACTATGTTGAATAGGAGTGGAGATAGTGGGCATCCTTGTCTGGTTCCTGATTTTAGAGGGAATGGTTTTAATTTTTCTCCGTTAAGTATAATGCTGGCTGTAGGTTTGTCATATATAGCTTTTATAATGTTGAGGAACTTTCCTTCTATTCCTAGTTTTCTTAGAGCTTTTATCATGAAATGATGTTGGATCTTATCAAAGGCTTTTTCTGCATCTATTGAGATGATCAAGTGGTTTTTGTCTTTGCTTCTGTTAATGTGGTTTATTACATTTATTGATTTTCGTATGTTGAACCACCCCTTATGCAGCATTTTTCAATATGTAGATTTTAATTATATTTGTTATTGTTCTGGTAATATAAACCGGTCACCTCAAATCCTTCTTGGAAAAAAATTAATTAAAAAAATCAGTAAAGTATAATTTTTTGAAAGTTACTCAAATTTTTTATGCATCTGTTTACAATTCATAATTACATTAATTGCCTGAACTTGGACAAGAGACTTTCCTTTCCCTCTCAGTCTCAGATGTGCTATATCTAAAATGCAAAGCTTAGGTTTTTTTTGTTTTTCTTTTTGGCTCTACTGGGATTTGAACTCAGGGCCTCATGCTTGCTAGGCAGTCATGCTACTGCTTGAGCTACTCCACCAGCAAAGTTTAGTTTTTAAAAAAGATCTCCAGCTTAGATGTTATTTGAATTATTAATCTTTCTTCTAGCTCTTAAATTCTGTTTTTATGATCTGTGTCTTACAATACCAAAGACATATCTTTTGTGTTATGTTTGAAGTACTGTACAAGTGGTCCTGAAGTAGACATTAAAATTTAGTCATTTTTAAACAATCACAGAAGTGAAATTTTGTAGATGGTCATAAACCTCATGGAAGAGTTATTATACTTTTAGAAACCCAGGCCAGGAGAAAGCTCCAAAGTGCCAGATATGCCAATGGCTTCAGCTGCTTGGTGAGATACAAGCCAGGTCCCGAACTCTTTGCTTAGAATCCTCTAGTGGCTTCCCTTCTCACTCAGAGTGGCGTTAAGGTTCTAGGCTCCCTCTGGTCCCACTGCACCTTGACATGAATGAGGCACACACAGCTTTTGCTCTGGAAGGAGGAAGCCCTAAACCAGGGCATGTGGCTTGGGGGTGGAGCATGGGCTACATTTCAGTCTCAATTCATCTGGTTGCTTGGGTGCTGTTATGGTTTAAATATGGTTTGTCCTCACCAAAACTCATTTTGGGGGCTTGGTCCCCTCCACTGCAGCACCGGAGGGAGGCCTGATGGGAGGTGTTTGGGTCATGGAGGTGGAGTTCTCATGAATGAATGAATGCTTTTATTTTGGGAGCAGGTTAGCTATTCCAGGCGTTGAGTCCTCTTTTCTCTCTGTCCTGTGTGCTCACTTGTTCTTCTACTTTCCACCATGGAGTCTTCACCAGAAGCTGAGAAGATGCTGGTGGTATGCAATTAGATGTCCAAAACCATAAGCCAAAATAACTTCTTTTCCTTTATAAATTACCCAGTCTTTGTTATTCTGTTATAGCAACAGAAAATAAACTAATACAAGGGCCTTAACCATTGCACAACTATATACAGAAGCCCTAAAGAGTCCCTATGATGACCTCTAACATCCTACACAACTTTCCTTCAACTCCCTCATGCTTTTCTTCTCCGACCTCACTTCCTACTCTCATCTCACTCCTCTGCAGTTACACTGCCCTTCTTGGAGGACCACACACTCTTGGAGCACCAGGCATGCTCAGACCTCAGGGCATTTACACATGCTGCTTCTAGATAGCCACAAGGCTTACTTCCTGACCACCTTTTAGGTCTCCACTAAAATACAGTCCTGGCTGTGCAATGACATTTCCAAGAATGATGGATCACAGGTACAATGGTATATACCATACGGCCTAGGCAGGCAGTGCCTATACCATCTAGGTTTGTGTATGTATACTCTGTATACCGAATGCTGGTGGCTCATGCTGGAGGCAGAGATCAGGAGGATCATGGTTTGAAGCCAGCCCAAGCAAATAGTTTGGGAGATCCTATCTCAAAAGTACCCAATACAAAAAACAGGGGTGGTGAAGTGGCTCAAGTTGTAGAGCACCTGCCTAGCAAGCATGAGGCCCTGAGTTCAAATCCCAGTACTGCCCCCACCCCCAAGTATATTTGGGGTGGCAAAACTGCCTAATGATGTGTTTCTCAGAATGCATCCCCATCGTTAAGCGACACATGTGTGACTGAACAGTGAGGCTTAAGCCCAGTTACTGTATCTAAAGTCACAACCCACCCCCTCGCCTTGCCTCCTTTCCCTGCTTTATTTTTCTACACATTAGCCATCACCAATCTATTCACAAAGTGTGTGTCTCCCAACTACAATACAAGGTCCACAGCATAAAACAGTGTTTGGCTCACAGGAGTTATCCATAGGATGCTCAATACTTAGTTGTTGAGTAAAGGTATGAAAAGTATTTGCTGAATGAATGGAGAAATGAACAAATAAGAGCACTCACTTCTTTGTAGTATGATGATTTGCTCTTGAAGACAAGGACTGACTCTTACTCAACCTTGCATGCCACCCGCTTCTCAGAATTAGAAGACCAAATGCTTAGAAAGGACTTGCTGTGTAACTGTGTGGAATGAGTCCTACCTTTCACCAAAGCTTCTTTTTTCAGGGCTGAAGCAATTGAACGAAACTGTGGGTGCGTGTTGTCTCCCAGGGAAAGCGCATAGGCCACAATGGCCAGTGTAAAGGTGGTCTTGGATGGGAGGGCATTTTCAAGCAGGAAGGTATCAGCTTTAGTTAGAGCTGTGTTGATTTTCTGGAAATAAGACAAGAAGACGTGTAAGTTTCTTTATCAAGCATCAGCCTATCAACCTGTGGGAACAGCCCTCAGGTCGCACCACCCTGGGGTGGTCTTTGTTTCCCTGGGGTAGGGAGACAAAGGATGGAACTAGGACCCCCAAATGGAAGTTGTAATAAAGCAAATCCTTCCAAGAGAAGGGGAACAGCATAATCTCAGACGAAACAACATGGTTCTCCAGGTTGGATTCAGCTTCTGCATCTGAATTCCTACTTTCCTCTTACATTTCTGTTTACATTTCTGTTTCCATCACCAGGCCTAGCCCCCAGGAAGAAGAAGCACCAAGCATAGACATGACTTCCATCCTTCCCGTGGCAGAGCTGAGACAGGCTCACATGTTCAAAAGGAGCTACACTGAGAACATTAATAAAACCATAAACAATAGAAAAAGAGCACAGATGACAAAGTACTTTCTGATACTAAAAATTCCTAGGGACAGAGTCTTTTATCACTCTATCCTGAGACCACAAGAAGAGTTGTGACTGCCTGCTAACATCCTGCTTGGTTCTTCTCCCAGCTCCACTAGTGTCACCAGTGTTTCTCACTCATGTGCTAACTGGTTCTTTAGGCCCCTTGGAACTGGTCCTGATTGACAGCTCATTTTAAGTATAAGCACTAATGCTCATGAAACGAACTTAAAAAATAGTTTTGTTTTGCCATTCAAGTTCTGCAAATCCCTTGGGCTTTTCTATCTCAAGTCTGTATCCTGGCTTGAAGGATGTGTGCAAGTGACCTCTGCTTTGCAGGCAGGTTTAGCATCTACCTCAGCCCCAAAATCTAGCTCTTCCTTGACAGGGCATCATCTCTGTTAACCTTTGCAGGCTTCTATGTTGTTTCACTTATGTGGGTCCTGTCTTTATATCCCTCGGCTTCCAGGCAAATGAAACACACAACTTGTGTCTGTGTGTCCTCAGAACTTGCATGCTATAGAGAACCTTAGCTACTGAATAGAATGATAAGGCTTCACAGAGATCAGAGAGCGAAGCTGGGGACACTGGGTCATTTTCCCATCACAGTCCTAGTTATTGCCCCATCTCTACAATTTAGTAGCCGTGGCCTTGGACAATTAAATTCACCTTACCTCACAGCTTTCTTAGTTGTCCATGAGTAGGTGAGACGAAGTGGTCTCTGATACCTATCAGTTCTGAAATCATTTGATCTGGAGTTAAAGTTACTCTCAAGTAATGTGAAAAGTAGGAAAAGAAACTTTTGAAAATCAGCATCTTCTGATGGGTGGCACCTCCAGAATATGGTATTCAGTTGATGGTGCTGGAGAAAGAAAACTCGTACTTACCTCTAGGGGGCATATATCAAAAGCTTTTCTAATTCCAATCACAGAAAAGGCTGTAAGATACAAGATGTTCTCTTGAGCTTCAACAGGCAAGGTACCCTAAAATAAACAATGGCTTAAAAGCACAGCAAACTGGTGTTTTTAGAGAAATGATCTAGCTTTAATCTCCATTTTGAGCTCCCATCATGTACTGCAGTTGGACTGCTTATTCTTGACAACTTTCAGGTCTTTTTTTTTGGCAGTACTGGGGTTTGAACTCAAGACTTCTCATTTGTTGAGCCACACTTCCAGCCCAACTCTAGTTCTTCTTGAGTCCCTTCACTTACCTGTCTTCCTTAGTTCTACCTCCCAGCCCAAGTTCTTCAACACATTTAAATTTTCTCCCTCCTTCAAGACCGTGTAAAATGCCACCTCCTCTATGAAGCCCTATTTGGTCTCTGTTCTCCCATGTTTTTTCCTCTTAGTGTGGTGATAATCCAATGCAATGCTTATAAGACTTTCAGTGAAGTCCATTTGCTTCTCAAGTTTTATTTTAAACCACTCACCATCTAGTTCTCATTGCCCTAGTTCTTTGAATGGGCCACCCTCCCCTCTGCAATTCAAAATTCTAGGAATGACAGTATATGGAAAATGCTCAACATCACAAATCATCAGGAGAGTGCAAATTAAAACCACAATGAAATGTCACCTCACACCTGTTAGTATGGTGATCATTAAAAAGACATGAGATAAGTGTTAGCAAGGATGTGGAAAAAAGGGAACCCCTGTACATTGTTGGTGGGAATGTAAATTAGTATCGCTATTTTGTAAAGCAGGATAGAGGTTACTAAAAAAATTTAAATTATTAGTACCATATATACCAAATCCCACCACTGATTACATATCCAAAAGAAAAGAAATCAGAATCTCAATGATATACTGTCACTTCCATTGTGCAGCATTTTCCACATTGGCCAAGTTCATCAATGGATGAATGGATAAAGAAAATACAGCATAAATACACAAGGGAATACCACTCAGCCTTGAAAGGAAAGAAATCCTGTCATTTGTGACAACACTGAGAAGCCTGGAGAACATTAGTGAAATAAGCCAGTCAAAGAAAGAAAAGTACTGCTTAGATTTAGAATACAAAAAAAGTCAAACTCATAGAAACAGCAACTGAGGGCAAGGGGTGGGGATCTGGGAAAATGTTGAGCAAAAGTTATAAAAATTTCACTTAGACAATAATAATAAGTAGAGGAGATGTACTGTACCATAGGGTGACTATACTGTATTATACAGTACTTGAAAGCTACTGAGAGTAGATTTTTAAATGTCCTCAGTACAAAAACTGCATATATTAATTAGCTCAATTGAGCCATCTCACAATGATACACATATCAAAACATCATGTTTTCTACCATAAATATATGCAATTTTAATTTCAGTTAAGAGACTATATTAACTCTGAAAAAAATGTCAGCATACCACTGACTCTGATTGGAATGCTCTTTCTGCCTCCTTCCTACCTCTCAGGAACCCAATCAACTCATTTTTCTAGGCTCCTCCAAACTGGATTTGATCCTCTGCTTTCAATGAAGCTATATTTCCCTTTTCCTAATATGTACACACACTTGGGATTACTCCATGTCTGACTCCTCTGCTTAGTCCCTAAGCTCTATGACTTGGTGATCATACTTGTTTTGTCACTGTCATGTTCCTGCCATCTTGCCCTTACTACATATTCAATAGATATTTATTGAATGCTAATGATCATATACACACGTGCCTCGATTAGAGTTGCTAGTATTCATACTAGCATTGATACCCTGCCTTCTTTACCAGAGGATGAGCTCCTTCTGTAGAAGGGATATTATTCAGGGTTCATCTTTCTCACCTCTTCTTCCCTACTATGCCCTTGCATGTATGAATTAGGTGGTCAGTGAATGGTTGCTGAGTGGATATGGACGGATGGATAGATGGGTATCTTTAAGATAAAAATTTTACAGTATTTTACTCTTCAAAAAGCACCCATATCATATCAGTTGCCCCCATTTCTTAGGGGCACCCCAATCTGCTATTGGTACAACAAAGGGCCATTATTAGAACGAATGGCAGCCATGGGGGTCATTCATGCTTGATATGAAAGGACCTGGATTAGAGCAGGTAGAAAAGAATTCTGTTGGATCTTAAATAATCATTCTAAAGAGTTGAAGATATTACAGAGGTATCTTGGAGATATATTATAATTACTTTGCCATTCAAGTTTGTAAACAGATCCCAATCTCAGAAAACCGTTTGTTACACTTTTTAATAAGTTGACCCTAACCTTTCTTCATAACAGGATATAAGTAGGTTATCATCTTTCAAGACACTGCAACCCTGACTTGTAAGAAGGCGCTCATCTTTAGATTCAGCTTCCATGCCAATGGTAGGCAAATTAGTACATTTAGCGTATTCTAGATCTCTGGAATTTACCTCTGGGAACCACAAGTGACTATTACATCAGATGTCTAGATATCACTTATCTGACTGCTAATGAACTGTCTAAAGAGTTCTCACTTCACAGCACATGGGAGGCCTTTTGTATTCTTTTCCTACTCATAAGAGGTATCCTCCCAAAAAAGAATGAGAATGAAATTCAAACTCATAAATAAAATAATTCCTAATTTTACATTCGATTTCCTTACCTGTAATTTTATTGGTTGATAGTTGGAAGTTTCCTTGAAAGATCCGTTTTCCAACTGACAATTCTCAACCAGCCATAACAAAGAATTACAAATTGAATTTTGTTTCTGTTCTACATATTTATGTACTTGTCCAAGTACTCTTAAAGCAAAAGCTGTTAACCTTTAAGATAAAGATCAAATAAATATTTAGAACACTGAATCCCTCTGGATTTCCATTAGCAAGGTGTTTTATTTCATACAATTTTATTCTTTAAAAGAAAATAAAATTTGAAGACATACAATTACATGGTAAGTTATCATTTTACAAGGTGACAAAGGAAGATATTTGGAAAACATTCAGTCAACAAATGTGAGCAGCACGTGTATATTAATACATAAAATTCCCTCACTTTTTACAAAGGATTTTAAACATTAAATTACAGTATTTTGGTACAGGCACACAAGACTATTTTAGTTACTTACCTATTTATAGACCTTTCATTGCTGTTAACCTTTGCTCCAACACTGTTAACAATTTTTAATTATTAAAATTATTTTTGATATGAATTAGAACGTGCTTCTCCACACTTCCCTAATTCATCCTCTGCTGACATCAGAATTGGTCGTATTCAGGAACACTGGTTGGCCCACGTTTTACACTGGGCTGTCTTGGGATTTTGGCTTTTGGAAGTCTCTTTGCTGTAGCAGGCTAGCAGGCATGAGTGTAGTCAGATTGCCACACTGCCTCACCACTTACTAGCTAGTTGGCCAAGTGTTACCCAATTTGTGCTTCAGAAAAAACGGCAATGGCAGGAAATACAAGTGAAGCACTCACTCCTGGGATTTTTAAAATTATGATTAAATTATATGAGCACGCTAAAACAGCTCTGGGTGACAGTTAAAGATTCACTTGTAAGCACTTCTCTCTCTTGCTATTTGGCACTGTGTACTCCAAGCCCTAGAGTCCTCAAGGAGTGGGCACTGAGAACTCTTTTCTAGCACTGAAGCAAATGCAGCATGCTCGCACTCGCTGCCTCCTGTAGACTGAAATTCAAAATTTAAGTGTGACTTGGGGGAAAGAGAAAAGTAGGTTATTTGACTTGGTTTTGTTGTAGACCCTAGGCTACTTCTAGAGGTTCTTAGTCTGGCTTATCTCCTCAAACTTTACAAGAGGATCTGTTACTAAAAATTCATAGTAGAAAACAATTTTTAAAAGTTATATCGAAGAGAAATTTGATAAAACTAAAAAATGTACATGCCTTATGTTCCAGCAATTCTATCTCTAGGGATATATCCTGGAGAATTTCACATATGTGGATAAAAAGATATGAAGATGGAAGCATTGCTTCCAATAGTAAAGATTAGAAACAATTGTCCATCAAATGAGAATGTATAAATATTTTGGTAAGATGTAACACTGCATGACAATGAAAAGGAATGAACTAGATCTACCTATACTGCTAGATCTAAAAAACTAAACATTGAAGGGAAAAGGCAAGTTGCAGAATGATAATGACAGTTTGATACTGGTATGATCACTTAAGAACACAAAAGGAAATATATGAACTCATATACATGCATATAAAAGATTAAAAATGGTCTGAAAGAATAAATACATTTATGATAATAAATGACCTTGGAGGAAACTAGATAGGAATAGATGAAAGCTTGAGTTAAAGGGAAAACTTGAACTATATCTGTAATGTTTTTCTTTTGTAAAAAAAACTAAGCTAATACAAAATGTTTATAACCATTAACTTTGGGTTTTGTTAATATGATTGTGATTTTTACATTTTTGTATCTTTCCTTTCTTTCTCAAGAAAAATTTGAGGGTGTTTAGGTGTTGGTTGGTTCCTTTTATGTTTATTATTTCTTTTAAGGGACTTGTGGAGTTGGGTGTGTACGGCAGCACCCATGTTTCTGTGTTTCTGGCTAAAAGCTAACCATCCATTCAGTCTTGCCTCAGCTCTGGAAAAGCTCTTGGTGTTTACTGAGGGGTTGCTGCATCATTCTGTGGGGATTTCCAGAGGGTTCCAGACTATGTTGACCCCCTAACCCCATCCCTGCATCTTCAAGTTGGCATATGTCTTTTGAAGTGTGTCACTCACATATAGTAGACCCAATTCTAAAGTACAGTCTATGGCCCTTGGTGACTGGTTGGACATAGAGCCAAGAGGCAAGGGGATACTCAAAAAGTGACTGAGGATTCTGACTTGATCAGTGCAGGACAAAAATGTAAAGTCTTGCTGTGCACAGATGAAGAAAACAGAGAAGATGAGTATTTGAGAAAGAAAAGAGCAAATTTGGCACAAGTTGTCCTTGAAAGTCATTAGCTCTGTACACCTAAAGGTGTGGACCTGGAGCTTAGGGGAGAAGTTAGGCTGTAAGACATTGATTAGAGAGTTGTTGTGATAAAAGTTATGGAAGTCCTAGGCAAAGATGAGATTGTATAAGGAAAGATTATAGCAACTCTTTAACAGGACAAGGACGAAATCCTGAGGCATCTCAATAATTAAAGGGAAAAATCTAAAGTTAAATTATTGCAGGTTGTAAACTCCTTAAATACATTTCATACAGTAGAGACTACAAAGCATCTGGTGTACTGTATTTTTATTAAGTATTGTGTCAAAGTGTGATAGTATGTTTTAAAAAATAGACTGTCATGTGGAGTTTTAATTCATTTAGGCTGCTTTTTCCTCAAATTGTGAGGCTATACTTCACCAAATAAATACTTATTGAGCACCAGGTATGTACCAGGCACTAGGAATACTTGGAACGGCCACATGCAGTGTATGTTCTAATGGGGGAGACAGAGAAGTAAAATAAGACTATTAGCAATGAATGCTAAGGAGAAAAGGAACACAGGGAAAAGGCTATGAAGTGTTGAATGGGAATGGGCTGGAATTTTAGATAGAATGATAAAGCTGTCATCTCACTAAGAAGGTGGCTTTTGGTAAAGACCTGAAGGAAGTAGGGGAAAGAGTCTTGCTCGTACCCAGTGAGGAGCATTACAGACTGAGGGAACGATCAGTGCAGGGGCCCTGAAGTGGAGCGTGCCTGGTATGTTTGAGGAACAGTAAAGAGGGGTTTGAGTGGAATGCAGGAGACAAAGTGGAGAGGTGAGGCAGAGCCAGATCATACAGACTTCTTAAATTACAATAAAAACATTGGTTTTTCCTCTGGGTAAGATGAGAAGTTCCTGAATGGTTGTGAGAGGCGTGCCCTAAAGTACATTTTAATGGGGTCACTCCAGCTGTTGTGTGTGGTATATATCCAAAAGGATCAAAGTCTGAAGTCAGAAGACTAAAAGGTTAGTGCAATGATCCAGTGAGGAAGTTGGCTTGGACCAGGATGGTGTGGTGAAATTGGTGAGAAGTAGTCAAATTCAGGATGTATTTGAAGGTACAGCCAAGCATATTTGCTGGATCAGATGTGAGTTGTGAGAAAAAGAGAGGAGTGAAGAATGCCTAGGATTTCAATCTGAACATCTGGAGGAATAGAGTTCCCATTATGTCGTTATTCTTTAATGAGTGAATCAAACACTGTATGAAAATACAAGTCAAAACCTACTTACCAAGTGCTACCACTTTCACCCTTCCACATGCTGTAAGAATAGTCAGCATTTCTGTAGGACGTGATGCTCACCATTCCTAAGAGGCACAAGAAAAAAAACACAGGGCTTCCTTTGACCTCCACTTCTCCTCAAAGAGAGCTGCGTCAGCCCCTGGGGGTGGAAACTTCCTTTGGTGTTGAGCAGCAAGCATATGTGCTGTGGCCAACAGTGAACTTCTCAAAGGAAGTATATGAATTGCTTCAATTAGAAATTATCAAATAGAACATTCAGATCTCATTCAAAGAGGAAGGAAGTGCTCTGTAGAGGCTGGAATGCAGGTGTCTTGTCTCTCATCCAAGGATTTTTGATTAGTTAAGCCAAATGCTACAGAAATAATATTTAATTACATAGTAGAGTCCATCTCATGATTTTTTTGGGGTAAAATGATTTTATAATTAAACTTTTATGTAGTTTATAACAACTTTAATATTATATTAATCAGAATACTTGTTTAAAATCACTAGATGAATATGTGAAACTATTTTTTACCTTCTTTTATTTTTTTCTTCATGTTTTGCTTTTTAGTCATTGAATCAGGATGAAGGATGTTCCAGTGGTCTCCTGCTTCCAGGTAGTGAAAGACATAGAAAACTGGGACGATGCTCATCAGCTCTGCCTCTGCACTTCCCTTAGGGAGGTGGGTTAGGATATTGATGCCTTCCTGACTCAGAACCACAGATAGGACTTCACCTATAAGTAGTCCTGAAACAAAAAGAAATCGAAGTAGACACAACCACTTTCTATCAAGTTCTAACAATATATTTTACAGAAAGACAACCATCTCTATTCTTTCGTTTTTAACCTAAGAAGTTTACTTACTTCTCAGAAATGGGGTAAGAAAAACAGATATGACTAGGAACATGTATTTATTTATTGTACATTTTTAATTATCATATTACTGTTTTACTGAGGGTATACTGAAATTTACAAAAGCTCTCATACACTTTCCTCATATCCTTCCTCCTCCCACTGGTGCCAACCCCCCAGACAGGACCTGTTTTACCTTCCCATTCTCTGTTTTTGAAAAAAGACATTTTTATTTGTTTTGGATAGCTATACAAGGAGTTTCATTGCAACATTTCCATGTATATTTGTACTGCAAACCAAATCAGTTCATCCCCTCTATTTTTCTCCTTTCTACCTTATTCCCTTTCTTATGGTGATTTCAACAGGTTTAAAAATTTTATATTCATTCTTGTATAGAAAGTACATCAAACATATTCACCTTCTTAACTTCTTTCTTTTATCCTCCCTCTCCTTTTAGTGACCTCCCCTTAGCATGACCTGTTTTTCATAATATTGCTTGTATTTATATTGGGTCTATATTCCACATATGATAGAAAACATGGTGGCCTTTGGCTTTCTGAACCAGACTAACTTAAGATGATGTTCTCCAGTTAGGAGCATGTTTTAACAGAAGACTTAAAATATCACTGTAATATTGTGGTAGAGATTACTGCATAGAGTACATGGCAAATTAGTTGTCATTCAGCCCACTGGGTTTAGACATTGTAAACCATACCAACCGATCCTCCCATGAAACAAAGCAAACAGCTAAAACTGGGAATTCTGTGACCACTGTTTATAATCCCCTGTGCAACCTTAGATAAGCCACTTTCTTATAAATCCAACAGAGTTGCACAAGATCCAAAAGGTCCTTTCCAAGTACTAACATTCTGTGACACAAGGTTTTATCTGAGATAAAATGTAATCAGAACATTCTACCATTTTGATCATTGAATTGTAAAGGCTAGAGAGCAGGGAACACCCATCAAAGATCTCACATCTGTAAATGTCCTGCTGTAGTTTCAAATGTATGTCCTTCCCAAAGCCATATGTTAAAACCGGTAGTTTTAGAAGGCAGGGTTTTTCATGAGGATTCTGTCCTTGTGAATGGGATTAATGACATTAGAAAAGAGGTGTGAGGGGACTGTTCACCCTTTTTTTGACATTCTGCCCTTCTACCTTCTGCCACATGAAGATGCAGCGATGAGAGAGCCCATGGGAGGCAGGGAACATCTTTGCCAGACACTGAATCTTTTGACGCCTTGAATTTGGACTTCCCAACCTCTAGAACTGTGAGAAACAAATGTCTGTTCTTTATAAATTACTTGGTCTTAGATATTTCATTATACTAGGATGGATGGAGTAAGATTTCATAGAGCAGTGTCATTGCTCATGGTCATTTACATGTCCTAAAGCCTTCTGTGCAGCAGAACTGGCCACTAAGACCACAGGAAGTTCTTTAAGTCTTGAAGCAGCTGCACACCCATTTTAGAGAAGTCTTTGGGCCTCCAAAGGCCCACTCTCCATCATGGGAGAATTAATCTCCATTTAAATCAGGCCAGTGGAAGAAGATAGTTGAAAAAATAATTATGTGTTTCAAGGTGGGGGTTGAGAGGCACAGGTACTCTCAAAGGCAGATTTATACATGCAAGGAAGCAGAAAAATAAATATAGTAATCATGAGGATATTTAACTATGATTTGAAGCACAAAGTGAAATAAAAAATAGAAATGGGATTTACCTTTTACACTCAAAATCCTTTTGACATTTGTTTTGGGGACCAAATCTAGTGGTATCTTATACGGAAACTCCTTTCGTCTGCTAATGACACCTGCAATTAAAAATGATTAGATTTGCACAGAGGCCTTAGGGGAAGAGACTATTTGTACATGATATAATGTACATGCTGAAAAGAGTTTTTCAAAATAAAATTCTTACAATAACACCACTAATATTTAAAAGGAAAGAAAATCAAGGATTTTTATCAAAACCTAGGCTTGTACAACTTCTTTAAATAAAAAATTAAATTTGGCTGTAAGCTGAAAAGATACGAAATAAATAGGTCATATCAATTTTACACACCAGTAAAGGATAGCATGCCATTTTTCCAGAGAAAATTGTTCCTGGAATTGAAATATAAAAATAACTAATGCGTAGTTTCTTAGTGAAGGTCATTTGCACCCTAGCTCCACCAGGAAACATGACCTGAGATTTTTTCCGTTTCCCTTCCCAGTCTAACTTAGACGCTTTTCCTCTAGGCCCACACAGAGTGTTAGCATACTGGGGTCAGAGAATTTTTCTACTATAATCAGTCCCTAGTGTGTGTCAAAAAGCAGTACTATTTATACTATTTATCATTGTACTGACAGTACCAAGCACTCCAGGAAGCTCTTTAAGTGCATTATTACATTGTATCCTCACAACAAACCTGTGTGCTTAGTCTATGTTTATTAATTTTCTGGATGAGGAAACTGGGGCTAGTTCAAGGTCACAGAACTAATACAGGTGGAGCTGCAATCTGAGTGAAGGAAGCTTTACTGCAGAGTCCACTATAGACACCATAAAGAGAATTCACCCCAGCACTTAACATAGTCTCTGGCATATGGAAGGTGCAAGTTAACAGAAAAGCTACATGACTTTGCCAAAGAGGCAGGATGTTCTTCGTGAAACTTCTTTCTCCTTTAATCCTTGATGAATTATGAAGATATTATATTAAAATAAAATTCAGTGACGGCATTTAAAATGTTGAAGTATGGTTGACAGGGCATAAAGTTCAGAAAGCTTACTGTGCATGTGACACTAACCAAGATGGAACCTTTCTATGCCTTAGTTTGTTCACTGGTTAAATGGTGATATAATGTTTTCCTCCAAGGATTTGTGTGAGAGTAAAAATCATACAGACAAAGAGCCTGGCATACAGTGTGTGCTCAATATATAGCACTTATTACAGAGAAACTGTTTGTGACTATTGAAATTAAATCCTGCTCTTGAGTATTTCAATTCTCATTGGCAACTTTACTACCAGAAGGAAAAGCAGAAGAAAGTTAGAATCAAGGAAGTCAATTTTACTCCTTGTTAGAGATCATGATGAAAAAAGTCATCATGACAGAAAGTAAAACATTTAAAAGTCAAATCTGTAAAAATTCAATAGAATAAAACACACAACAATGTTTTTGTGAACTAAGGGTAGAAGAAGACTTCTTAAAGATTATGCTCAAAATAAACAACCAACCAAAACCAAATCCCTAAATAACCATTATGATGGATTGACTATTCCAGAATAAAGAATTCCTGGTCAAAACCCACTAAGATTTCCTTTTGCTCAAAGAAGTATATGAAAGACAACAATCAAGAAGAAATAGATAAGAAGATTCAAATATAAAAATGTACAAAGGAGATGAGTAAGCAATTGACAGAAGGGAAACCCAAATGGCCAACAAACATATGAAGAAATGCTTAAAATCACTTCCAACTAGAATAATGCAAATTAAAATAATAATGAGATATCACTTTATATTAATCAAAAATGTCACATTTTAGAGAGGCAAGCAATACCAACTGTTGGTGAGGATGTGGAGAAAAGAGACCCCTCATGTATTGCCAGTGGAAGTGTAAATAATGCAGGCATTCTGAAGAGCAAGTGGCAGAAATAAATGACATTAAATATGTGTATGTTAATTTGATTAAAGCACTATGTATAGAGACCTGAAGTACCAAGGTGAATCCCCCCTTGGGCTATCAATACACACTTAATTAAAAAAATGAAAATGTCTTTTCCAGGAGTGGGTACCAGTGGGAGGGGAAGTGGATATAAGGAAAGGATGAATGAGTGTGACTATGGTGGATATATTTTGTATTCATATGTGAAAATAGAAGAATGAAACCTGTTGAAATTGTACTAAGAAGGGGGTGGGGGAAGAGGGAGAGCAATGGAAGAGTAAATCTAAGATATATTGTAAACACATATGTAAGTATCACCCTGTGCAACTATTACAATGCTAATAAATAAAAAAAAGAATCTACACATTTAACATTTTGAAAGATAGTACCTTCAGTTACATACATACTTTAATTTCTAGAGAAAAAGATGGCATATAAAATACAAAGTTATTCTTCCTACCATAAATTCCCTTAGGGTCCAGAGTGAAACCGGCATAGCTTTCCCTTTTGACCCCTTCTGGCTAAAGTAAAGGCAGAAAACATTTAGTTAAGAACATAGTTATATTTCTATGACCTGAATTCCTTGGATCAATTTTTATGGTCCCCTTTCCCAATATAAAAATTCCTCTTTTTTTTTTAAATTTAAATATTGATCAGAGCAAACTGTCAACAGAAGTTATTATGGGTTAGGTAATGGGTTGTATAGATTAGCTCATTTAATCTAAAAAGTTCTTTGAGGTAGGTGCTATAATCTCTCATTTGACAGACAAGGAATGGTACACATCGTGATCAAGAAATTTATCCAACATCTCATTGCTAGGAAGTGTGGAGCCAGGGTTCAAAGCCAAGCTGCTCACTCCAGAGTCTGCATGAAACCATGACTCAAGGATGAATAGGAATGCACCTTGCAACACAAACCAATACACATTTTTCTGATGTTTTTTGTTTGGTTAGACAGAGTCTTGCTAAATTGCAATCCTCCTGCCTCAGCTTTCAGAATGCTGGGATTACAGATGTGCACCACTATGCTGGACTGTTTTATTTAAAAAATCTAAGCATAATTTCAGACTTATAAGAAAGTTGCAGAACTAGTACAAAGAAATCTGGGATTTCATCCACCAGGATCCTCAATTGTTAGTTCTTTGTTACATTTACATTATCATTTCCCTCTCTTCCCCTGACACAAATCATTTGAAAACAAATTATTTCTAACATTTCTTTCCAGGAAAAAAAGGTTTTTTTTCTTTTTTTCTTTTTTGCAATACTGTGGCTTGAACTCAGGGCCTACACCTTGAGCCACTCCACGGCCCTTTCTTTGTGATGGGTGTTTTCGAGATAGGGTCTCACAAACTATTTGCCTGGGGTTGGCTTTGAACTGCAATCCTCCTGAGTCACTAAGATTACAGGCATGAGCCACCTGCGCCCAGCTCAGAAAAAAGCATTTTTAAAAAGACTCATGTTATTCAGCCTTAAAAGGGAAAGAAATTCTGACATAAGCTATAAACACAGATAAGCCTTGGGAATATGCTAAGTGAATTAAGCCAGTTACAAAGAGAAAGACATATTTCCTATGATTTCACTTTTTATGAGGTACTTAGAGAAGATAAAGTTATAGAGACAGAAATAGAGTGAGTATTGCGAGGGGCTTGACAGATGGTAGGAAGGGGGGTTATTTAATAGGTAGAGAGTTTCCATTCTGCAAGATGAAAACGGTGCTGGGGATGGATGATTGCTTCCTCATTAGATCTGGTGTGAATTATTGACAGGAATATTGCTGAAACTGATGCTGTGTTCTTCTTGTATCTTACCACGTGGTACAGAATTTCAATTTGTCCAAATACTGATGGCATTCATTTTGATTTGATTAAGGTGGTGTCTGCTAGGATTCCTTGCTATAGAATTGCCCCTTTCTCATTTCTCTTAAACTAGTAATTTGTGGGAAAATTACAAAAAATAAAAAAAAAAAGACTAGTGTTTTTCTTACCACCACTCTTAATGTTTTTACTAAGATTTCTCTTCCAAATGAAGTCTCCAGGGAAAAGCTGATGTTGTGGAGGCCGATTTCCAGAGGAAGCAGGCTGAAGGTCACCAGGTGACTGGAGGAGCCCTCTACTCTCTGGCGTACACATTTAGAAGTCTTTGCCCTGTGATGGTCAGGGGCTGGGCTTCCCGAGGTACAGATTCCCTCCACGGCAGTCATTCTAACACAGAACTGAAATACACCAGCGAAGAAGCCTATCAAAATAGACTATCATCTGAGTCATACAGCTTGTGAAAAAATCACCCCTTAGTTTCTGAGGCATGGGTCTCAGAGAGCTCATGTGTACATCTACACACAAGCTTCTGTGGAGCTTAGCAATGTCAGGGCATGTCTAGAACTCAGCACCTGCTGAGAGCTGTCTCACCTTCCTTAGATGCAAAGCTATGTAGTTCTGTGCTCATGCAGAGCACTTGGCCATGGTCACTTCACCTGTTTGTGTTTTAGCTAGTGGGAGCTTCAGGCTCAGGTACTTTGTGTCTTATTCATGGTTGTATTTTTTAGCTTAGCCTCTGCTAATAAATGATGGCTTGATGAATGATTGAACACTATGCATCATGGCCTATTCAAAACCCTGCTCCAATCTTACTAACTTTCCACTGGTACCTCATTTTATGACTAAACTCTGTCTCTAGAAAGGAGAATGATGGAGGAGGTGAATTCAACTATGATAACATTGTAAAAACTTTTGTAAATGTCACAATGTGTCCCCAGTACAAAAATAATTTTAAAAAGACCTAGATTCAAATCTTGGCTCTCCTTATCAACTATTATAGGAACAGGTGGCATGACCTCTTTAAATTTCTGCTTTCTGATATTTTTTGGCAGTACTGGGATTTGAACTCAGGGCCTCACCCTTGCTAGACAGGTACTCTATCACTTGAGCACTCCATCAGCTTGCCTTTCACCTTTGAGATAGAGTATTCCTATATAGCCTAGGCTGGCCTGAAGCTCGGATCCTCCTGTCCTCACTTCCAAGTGACAGGACTACAGGGTTGTACTACCACATTTGACTGATATAGTCCTTTTGGAAGGCAATTATGTCCGTATGGATCAAAAGGCAAAATGCTCCTGCCCTTTCACCCAGTTATTCTACTCCAAGACGAAACACCTTTCCCACAGAAATAACCACACATGTGTAGGGAGAACTGTATGCATAAATGTAGGCTTTCAAAAATCAATTACTATAGTGAAAACTTGGAAACAACAACATCTCTTTCATAGACAAATGGTTAAATAAAATATGGTATATTCAATTTGTGAATTTCTTTGCAGCTATTAACATATACTGATACGAAAACATGTCTCCCATGATATTACTAGTGGGAATGCATGTTGCTGGAGGGTTTGTGCCTACCCCGATTTTATGTGTGTTTGGTTGGTTGAGCTGAAACCCCGGCTGATCTCACTCCTCCAAATGGCCAGAGCTAGGCTTTTGCCTCTGCAACCTACTTTTCTGTCATATTCACCTGTTAATGTATCTGTCCTGAATTATGATTTGACGTGTCTCAATAGTGACTCCTCCTAACATGATTTGGATTGGAAAATGAAATTGGCTTTTCTATGACAAAAATCATGTCTTATTTTGGCTGGTTTTTTTTTGCTGTGACAATTAAAACTGCAATTGTGACGTTCCAAGGTTTTAGACAAAAATGATTTCATAAAAAATTTTCTTGATAATGGCATAATAAAATTGGCAATATTTTTATTTCCCCAATTTTCATGATCATATGGATTAACCAAGGAATGTCTACCCTTATAAAAATAAAGGAATAGAATTTATGTTGAATCTTCTTTCAGTTCTAGCATAAATAATATTTATTCATAGTTATTAGGCTAACTGAGAGAATCTATTAATAGGAGATGCTTTCTTTCTTTTTATTTTTTTGTGGTACTGGGGTTTGAACTCATGGCCTCATGCTTGCTAGAGGAGTCACTCTACCACTTGAGCCATGCCACCAGCCAGGAGATACTTTTGTAATAAAATTCTATTTTTTGTGTTTAATAACTTTAGAACTTTATGTTATTTTTCAATTTTGTGCTAAAATATTTGTAATAATAGTTAAATACACAATCATTTGCCACTAGAGTCTTCTAACCATGGAATTTAAAGATATTTCATTTTGATATATGTATCTTTATTTGTTTCAGAGTATAATTTCATGATCATAGAAAAAAATTCAATCAGAAAGTACAATGGAGTGGAAAGAAAATATGAGTGAACAGAGGAAAAGAAATGATATGTAATCTGTTGTGAAAAGTATTCAAGTATTTTAAAAATGGATTGTTATTATATTTAGATTCTGCTATTTAAGTCTAAATGTGGTATGTCTTATTTTAAAATATCAATCTATTTTAAATATTTCAAATATATTTAAATACATAATTTATGTTTAAATATATAAGAATATTTAAAAATAATATTTAACAGAATATTTAAAATATTCCAAAAGTTTTCAACTGCCATCTTTGAAATCTTTGTTGAAAAATTTTACCTGTTAACTTAAAAAGGTGTCAATGGAATACACAATCTCTCTGAAAAAATTTAGAGAGTATCCAAAGAAAATTGGGGGGGAAACCATTGAAATACTCATTTCTAAGAATAAATTTTGAGCTTAAAAATATATATAGTTGATTTATAGGCTGTGTTGTGTTCCCACATAAAGTTTTGTGGTTGTGATTTTCAAGGCAATCATCCTATTACAGAATTCTCTGCAGTGCAGAGCTGGCAAGAAGACAAATGGTGGGTTCCATCATGGTTGGAGGCTTTCATGCATTGTACCCTGGAATGAGAGAAGTCAGGGAGTTGATGTGGTTTTAGTCCATGTGGTCATAATGATGTTTTGTGGTTTCTGATCTGCACAAGGAATAAGATAAAAACATCAGAGGGTCAACAGATAATAGAAAAGTGACTGAGTCAATGGATTGGAGGTCACAATGGTGTTGGAGAGCTATAGCTATGGAAATGATAGGGCTAATGAGTCAGAAGGATAGGAAGGAGGCTGTGGTTGGATGGGGAGAAGTTTGAGACAAGATCCACAGAGTAAAAATGAATATGAATAGTTCAAAGGGTTGTTAGCACCAAGGAGAGCATGGAACTCAATCGAACTAAGTGTGAACTTACTGTCCTCTGAACCTTCCTAGCACACTGATTCTTCTTCAGATTGGAGGTGGGTAAAGACTGTTCTGACTCCTCCTCCTTCTTGCATCCTTTCATGTTCCAAACTGCATTTCTAGTAAGGCACTCACTGTATTTGGTTTATATTGATCAACTGGGTTGAGGGCAGGCAGAGCTGCTCAAGTGGTAAAAGCATCTGCCTAGCAAGGTTGAGGCTCTGAGTTCAAACCCCAATGCAACCAAAAAGAAAATTAATCTGAACTGAGTTGAGCTTTAATTTTTGGTATGTGACAGACTGATAAAAACCAGAGAATGTTTTCTTTTATTCCCTATTTATTCTAACTTCCCATAAATACCTACTTACCATTGTTCCAGAAGTTCTATAGTTATAAACAGTTCCTTTCAATTGGATCTGTTCCCCTCGTACCACAGAATATGGTATATTCATTTCCAGGAAGATATCTTTGAATACCTTTGTCTTGAGAGTATCAGCAACACATATACCTTCAGCCCGACATAAAAGCAAGGTAGGAACATATTAGGAAATTCTTATCATGCTTTCTTAGTGCTGAAATGCCTCACGTTTGCTTTATTTCAAAGAAAAAAGAATGTTAGGTCATTTTTTCCTCTGTACTATCTCCCCCTGTTCTTGAACTTCCCATTCATTGAACTTTATATTTATGCTTTTGGTGTTTATGAAAATTTATTTGTTCCACAAATATTTAATTCTATTTAAGGCATGAGAATGTTTACCAGCTAGAGCAGCAAGTCTTTTTTTTTTTTTAGGTACAGTTACAATGTTTCTTTTTTTTTTTAATTTTATTTTTATTGTTTTTACATTTACTTACATGTGTATACATTATTTTGGGCCACTTTCTCCCTCTCCTAACACCAAGTCTTTATATGTTCATTTTGGCTCCATTTAATGATATGGAAATTTGGATTGTGGAAACTAAGATTTTGTAGAAATAAAAATAGTGAACAAATGAAACCAACCTTGAAGTTATTTACAAAGTACCTTCACTAAGTCACCTCAAAGGAACATTAGCCCAGCAAAGGTCAACAACAAATACACTTGCTTCTGACCCTACTCAGGGTCCCAGTCACTGAGAAAAGTGAAGGGACACAGGGACGTGACACCAACATTTGTACAACACCAGTTAGTAGAAGAGCAAAAGAAGGAATTAACAGGCTTGAAGGAACGACAGATCTGTCTTTTGGTAATACAGCATGGTAATACCACTCGTGTCTGGGGAAAACTAAATACACAGTGAGAGAGAACGACATCTTGCTAATCAATTCGTTTAATTTATTGCTAATTAAATAAGTATATAGCTTAAGCTCTCTTACCACTATTTGAAATGCCAACACCTTGAACCTCCCAGGTAGTGAGGGTGTCAGGCAGCACAACCCGCAACTGTTTTCTGGAAGTTAAAATGTTTATATTCAACTACAGTGAACCATTAACACAACTTGACAGAATTTTTGATTTATATGACTTCAGGAGAAGGAAAACAGTCACATTAGGTATTAAGGAAAAACTTGTCAAGGATAATACATGCAGCAGCCCTCTCATCTAGTTCATGTTTTCAGACATTGCTCCTGCAAGGTGAGCATTCACGTTCATGATGCCTTCGAAACGTTGTAAAATCAAAGCACACAGAGCAAAGAGAATTACGGTCATTGTGATTATGTTCTACAATAGGGAAGCAAAGCAATGCACTTATTTATTTATGGCAGTGGGGATTGAACCAAGGGCCTTGCATTTGCTAGACAAGCACTCTATCACTTGAGTTATGCCCCCAGCCCTGTTGTTTTTATTTTGTTTTTTAGATACAATCTTGTACTAACTTTTCCCAACCTTGCCTCAAACTTGTGATCGTCCTGTCTGTCTCCTGAGTGGCTGGGATTACAGACATGGGCTACCACACCAGACTAAAGTAATGCATCTTAATTCTGCTCATTGATATAATTAAAATTTTCTAACTATGACTAAGCTCATATATTGATTTACAGCTGTTGTCCACCACCTTTGTCAGAGTATACAGCACTCATAAGTTATCATCCTGCTCTCAATCAGTTTATCGTCCAGTGGAAAATAGTTAAGCAAGTAAGGGGCAGTTCACTCTAACAACTGTACCAAGAAGTCATTAAAAGAGCTCAGAAGCAATGTGTATTCATTCAACACATTTATTTCCATGTTTCTACAAGCAGGATCCTAGGCCAAATACTGGATATAAAACAGCAATCTGACTTTTGTTTTTGTCTTCGAGTTATTTTAAAGAGGAGGCAAACAAACAGAACATTATCATAGTATATGACACATGTAACAGGGTTAATTTATTGGTGTCATTAATTCAATCACCTGCAAGATAGGGGACAGTACAGGAAATTTTACCGCAAGTACTAGCTAATGACGACATGAAAACAACTCCTTAATAGGATGCACAGCACACAGGTGTACACAGTAAGCGTACAATAAAATGAAATGGTAATTTTTACCAAAAATTAATGCTTCCCGGGAACCAACTTCCAGAGAAAAGTATATTTAAAAAAGATAAAGCAAGACAAAGCAAAATTTAACCAACTATTAGGTCACCTTAAATCTGAATCATGTTCAGATTTTTGGCCATGCTATTTGCATTTTTCCATATTTTTTCAGAGCAGCGTCAAGGAAGTGTGATACCTTTTATGAACGTGATGAACTTCCCATAGCCAGCTTTCTGGAAAGTAGCTCCGAATTTCTGGCTTCGTTACTGGCAAGAGAGTCTTCATGTCTGAGGAAAAAAATCATATTCAGTTGTGAAAAATGAATTCTGCTCATAGATGAATTTGTAAATATAGCCATTCTTCTATAATTTAAGTATTTTCTAAAAGGTCAATACAACATTTTGTTTAGGGATTTAAAAACAGAACTACAAAGGCTTTAGGATTTCTTCACTAATAGAACTGATAAAATAATCATAAAAGTAACTATGATGATTTATTTAAGGTGTTAAGTGTTTAGTGTTCTTGAGACAGGCAAGATCCTGGTCGGTCTATAAAGCTATTTTCAGTTGCATACTTTTACTAATTGCATTCACATTAGAAAACAGCCTTGTATGCACATATGAATAATAAAAGAAAAAGAAAAAAAAGAAAACAGGGAACTTTTATATGATTTAGCTTGATCATTTATTTGTATTTACTTTGATAAAAATAGAACTTCTGCTTTCATTTAAGATGAACTAATAGGTACTGAATTTCCTCTCTGAGCCTTAAAAACTCAGGAAAGCAGACACAATACATAAAACATCAGTTTTCAGATATCAGGACATAGGCAAAAAAGGGCTAGGATCCCTGAGAGGGAAGCCCTAAAAATCATCCCACGTTAGTTACTGTCTGGGAGCAGTTCACCGGCAGGGCAGGGCAGGGAGAGGAGCCCACGCAGAGCTGTGGCCTTGAAGACATGTGACAACACACATGGAGTTCTGGGAGGCCAAGCTGTCCATGAAGATGGGGTACAGAGAGGGGGCTGCAGAGAGCGAGTTGCATGTAGCTGGAGACAACCAGATGATTTGAGTTGAAACACTGGGCAGTGAGAAGATAATGTTCTAGACTGTTCATCAAACTGCTACTTGGAATAAGCAAAAATTATGGAACAGTCTAAATGTACATGGTTTTGGAAACTGGCCGTAGCAGTAGAAACTTATCCATTGAAATGGACAATGTTTAAAGCTGTACAGTTAAACAAACCAATCAGAATAAAAACATCCATCTTATATCATTCCCTAAAAACGATATATGGATGAAAGGAAAGCTCTAAAATTTCTGAAAATATATTAATGAGAGTTACAGAAGCAAGAGCGCAACTTTTATAATAAGTAAACTTCATTGTACGGTAGATTTAGAATCTTTGATGTATTTGGTCAGGGTAGGTATAAAGAATTTTTCATGGTTGTGATATAACAGAACTCTTAGAACTCAAAGGCATATTGGAGATACCCAGTCCAAGGTTCTGTCTTGATCTCGGAGAAGATTAAATAATCATTCAAGTTCACACAGTGAGTAGGCATCAGGTATATTTTGGGCTTTGACTCTGGGCTAGTGGAATCGCTCAAAGAGGACTAGTGTACCTCTCAAATTCCCAAGAACGATCACAGATGTTTTTCTTATGGTCATTTATAAGGTGTCTTTTCTACCTCCAGTTTTCACAAGAGCATAAAAAAGGCCTTTCTCGCTTACCAGCATAGCATTGCACCCAGTCCCCCAGGCTGGGCCGAGTTATGACGGGAAACATCACACTTACGTAGTCTCCCCAACTGCATGGGTTTAACAGAGTCTTTAGCTCGGAGCTGATTTGCGAGGATGCAGCATTCGTTGAAAGCTCGGATGCAAAACGGGCCTATAGTGACCCGTGCAACTCGCTGCTCGCAGGTCTCATCATTATTAAACCGGGCTCCGTCGAAACAGCATTTCCTCGGCACTGGATGTTTGTATTTAGCAGCTGAAACGGTGACAACACAAGTGCCCCGATCACGCATAGAGTCCTAACAGCTCAGGCTTAGAAAGACTCTCAGGGGAGGGCTGGGGACCTGACTAGCAAGCATGAGGTCCTGAGTTCAAATCCCAGTACAGCAAACTAAAAGAGGAATCTCAAGGGATTCTTGGTTTCTATTACCAAAGACCCCCTTACCTAAAATAGCCAAAGGTGGTTGACTGATGGGTCTCTCCTTGGAGCTACTCCAGGACTAGGGAGGGTGAGACCTCACCCATTAGTGCATCCCAATTCACACTAAATGGTTAAAGGGCTTCCTGCAATCAGGCTAAGTACTAACTTTTCAGACTGGCACTCTGGGTTCAGCACCCTTTGAACAAAATAAGTGAAATATCCAAGATGCTTTCCAGTATTTGAAGATGACTATCATTACTATACAGAATTTCCTTCCAGAAGGTAAATACTCTGCTTTTTCAAACATATCTTATATGTTAGTGAGTAGACTCTCACTCGTAGCCTCATTCTTAAGTTCTCGGATTAATTAGTGCCTGCTTTTTGTATGATTACAGTGTAGAAGGAAGGTTATGATTATAGTGACTGGAGTATAAATGGAAGAAATCATTACATCTCTATATGCATGATGATTGGCTGAACTCAGGCCACTACAAGATCACTTTCTTTCTACCTGTAAGATGACCAATTATATTATGATTTAAATAATTCCTATTAGACTTAATTTCAAAAAAATAACCAGTTAAATATATGAAATAGAAGAAGCAGATTTCTAGGTATGTCCCAAAGTTAATTAGACCACAGGTTTTTGTCAAAATAAAATGGAAGGATATGACTTTAACTGTTAGATGACATTTGTAGAGAAGAAATATTTGTGACAAATAAGAGTTAATATTTTTGTTTTTGTAAGTAAAGCAGGAGAGTTTATTGAAATAGAAAAAATAGCAAAGAGTTGAGTCCCCAGAGCTGGGAGGTGTCCCAAGAGAGGGTTGCCCAATATTTTAAATTTTAGAGATAGAAATAATAAAGACCTATTTTCTTCAGGGTAAGGCCATGGTGAATGAAATGTTGGGTTTATTTGGATTAATCTTTCTCACTGAGGTGAGCTAGACCTTCCTACATATCTTTCTTTTTTTCTTTTTGTTGGTACTATGGTTTGAACTTGGGACCTCATGCTTGCTAGACAGGTGCTCTACTACCTGAGTCACATTCCCAGTCCTTTTTTTCCCTGGGGCCAGCCTTGGACCATGATTCTCCTACCTATAGCCTCCTGCAGAACTGGCATTACAGGTATGGACCACTGTGCCCCATGTTGAGATGGAGTCTCCCTAACTTTTTGCCCAAGATGGCCTCAAGCTATGATTCTCCCACTCTCCACGTCCTGAGTAGCTGGGATCATAGGTATGAACCACCATGCCTGGCCCTATGTCTTTCTTTTCACCAATTCTATTTGAATTAGGGGAAATTATATGATGCTTCATTTTCTTCAGCTTTTGAATGATATGGTCACAGCATTTCTATAATCAAATGAAGCTTTTAGAGTACCTTGTTCTTCTATTTTTTGCTGCAATTCTCGTCTTGGCCTGAGAACATCTTTGCAAGGTTCATCTATTTTTATTTTTAAGCAACAAAGAAAGGGGGAGAAAAGAGATTAAAATTTTAAAATCTTAAAAAAAAAGAGTTCCATGAAACAAAATACTTAAAACATTCACAAGTCATTCATTCAACAGATCTGTACTGAGAGCCTGCTTCAGATCAGGACTTCTGCATTTCACCTCTTAATTTGTCCTCTTAATTTGATACTGAATGACCCCAGTGTCATATAATTCTATTTGTTTTATCTGGGTTTGCTGTTGAATCCTGTTCTTTTCTGATGCATTGATTACTGTGAACTACTTAAGCATTTAAAGTGAGCAAGGGTTTTCTTTTTTGGGGCGGGGTGAAACTATTTATCTAATTTGCAACTTGAGCGACATTATTGCAACTAGAACTATAAATACCATAGTATCAAGTGTAATTATGAACAATTTTAAAATCACAGAAAGAAGGTGATTAGGATGTGAGCTCTAGCCTTGAAGAGCCCACAGTACTAGGGCGAGCTTATCTTAAGTATTTGAATGTGCAGTGATGGACTGCTGTTCCCGTCAATGTCCTCCCATCACAGGAAGAGGAAATGATCAATTCTAAATGGGGAGGAGACCTCATAGAGATCATTTATTTATGTATTTATTTATTTAGAGACAGAATCTCTCTGTGGTGCCTGGGCTGCTTCTCCAGGTTTGCAAAGGGGAAAACAGTCCCCATGATCCTAAGGTGTACAACAGCAGGGTGCCATCCAAAATCTACCCTGGGGTCTATATAGTTTAAACATAAGGTTAGGAAGAACAAAAGAGCCAGGGAGAAGATTGTGGAAGGCTTCGAGTTCTACACTAATCTTCACTTTATCTCGAAGGCCAATAAGACATTACATAGTAATGGCATTCCAAGATCAGTGTAGAGAATATTCTGGAAGAGGAACAGAAGTGAAGTCTGGGAGGCAAATGATCCATTTCAATCTCAGTAGTAGAAATGCTGGTTTTTTACCATGTTCTTGGGAGCCATCTGCATTTGCATTGGTGAGGAAGGTGAGTCCAGCTAGATGGAATACATCTGCATTGTCACGGCCACCACCCGCCCCACAGCCCAGGTCACTCTTTTCGAAAGCCTGAAACACCTGTCAGAAAGGCAAAATGTTGAACCTGTCAGCTATAAAGACACTCCTCCAAAGAACTAAAGGGTATTAGTCATTGCGTGGTTTAGAACAAAAGTGTGAAATACACAGGAAACATCAAACGACCGAAGGCCAAGCTTCCCAACTTCATCCCTTCAGCTTTGTCCTTTTGTATTTATAAATTCTACTTGTTCAACATTAAACCAAAAACTAAGTCTTGAGCAAACAGTTTTGATGAGGAGATTCCTCAAAATGGACCCACGTTGTTTTATACATAGAGTACATGCAGCAGTCAATATTCTAAACTAAATTTAAAAAAAGAGCACAATCTTTTACATTTTTTGGGGGGAGGTTATAGGCTCTAAGTGGGAGAGAACGTATATGAGGGGCTTATTCCAGCTTTAATTTTGTCCCCCAAATGTTCGTTCTTCTCTTTAACTTAACAGTTTCTCAATTCTTTCTTCCTTGTTGGAAGAAACTTGAGCCTAGAAAGTTAACAGCTGAGTGTAGTGGAAATAAATGGGAACTCAGGGGAATTCATTAATCCTCAAATTCTTTTGCACCACAGATTTTAATGACAGTTAAAACAAACAAACTCTGATTTCCTATCTAGTTTTTTCTTGGGCTGTTTCTATGACCGCCACTGCTACCCTGATAGCACTTTTGCTCCATGAATGTGATTTGGAAAAGCAAAAAAGGATTGACCAGTGCTTTGGGAACTAACAGAAGGGTGGCCTCCCTTCCTAGGAACTCCTACATTGGAGAAAAGAGGCCATCATTGCCTTAATTCTTCCCCCACAACCTGTCCTTTGGCCACGCCTGTGACGTGCCACATGTAGCTCAGCCCCTCTCCCCCAGTACACACAGAACTGCTCTACTTAACTCTTTGCATGGGCCTGTTGGCCCTTCCTTGGACTCCATACACAGCACTGTCCACTGCTGCTACTGCCACCCATGAGTCCAACTCAGTCACCATATTAAGAGACACAGTTTGGCCTGGAGAATATACATCTGCATCTGGAGACAGATGAACCTAAAAGGTCATTTGAAAAAGAAAAGATCATTTGAAGGAGACAAAACTGTTCAGAAGCAGTTGCTTTGATGGCCTCCTTCATTCAGAAGAAAACTCTGCTGGGATGTGTAATTCATCTCACCTGGAGCTGGTTGCCACACTTTTCTTCAATATTTAACCAGACTGAGTCAGACACTAATTCTGCTGTCTGCTCTCCAGTGACAATGTAGTAGACCAGAAGTCGGGCTGAAGGAACCATGTTCTGTGTCACTGGAATGTTTATACTTTGATAAGATGAATCTAGAAGTTTCTCCCTTGTGCCAAAGTGTACAATTTTGCCCTTGGATAAAATCTGAAAATAAACAGCAGCAGCAAAAAATAAGTACAAACCCAAAAGTTTGAATCTTAGAACTGAAGCAAAAAAATATATTAAACAAAAATAAAGTTAACATGTATGAATGTTCCATCTGTGGGCTGGGAATGTGAATGTTTATTTAACTCCTTTAATTCTCACAACACCAGTAGATAGGAATATTTCTCTCCATCGAAGAAACTGAGGCTCAGGAACTAAGTCATACTGATTTCACATAACTAGGAAAGTAGACAGCTAAAATTTAGCTAGACCTGTTTAAAGTCATACACTATCACTAAAACGTCCTTTGTCTTGTTGACGAAAAAAAAAAGGAGAAGAGTGAGTAAAGAGTGTATCTTATTTGAGGATTAAGTTTTAAAGCCACGAATAAAATTCCAAATTAGAAGTTTAGGGTTAAAAAACATTGCATGAAGCCAAAATGTCTTCAAAGTTCCCTTAAATGTCCTTAAAAGCAGGACTACATACATAGTTTGGCACGTAATCCCTGAATACTTCCTCTAATTCTATATCAGTCAATACTTTTCTGTGGTCATTTATTTTTCAGTTTCACCCTCAGAAATGTTGAGAACACTATCACCACCTCGCCACTGGAATAATCCATTCCATTTCTTTGGCAACTGTTAGGGAGCTCTTGTCATTTTTGCACATTATTTCCTGGGTTTCACCAACAGGCTTGCTTGATCCACCTCCTGTTTAATATAAGTGAGGCAATAGGTATGTTGCTGACTGTGGAATTGGAACAGGTATCACATGACTCAATTCTTGAGGATTGAGACCTCCCTTCTTATGCCAAGGCAATGTATGCACTTGAACCAGGTGTAGGGATCATTGGCTATGAACTAGAAATGAGATGATGTGATTTAATCAGGCTCTCTTCGGTGGAAGGAATTATCACATCAGAAACTAGAGGTCCTCAGCGCAAATAAAAATCCTCTTCTTCTGAACTGAGTGACCATGGTGAGGGTCTTGTAACCTTTCTGTCCCTCAATTTCTCCATCTGTGAAATGGTCACGAAAACCATGTCCCATCTCAGAGGTTTTTAAAAAGCTGCTATTCAAATTAGATGATGTTTTTGAAAGCACTCTGCAAATACAAATGTAAGGAGTCATTCTAACGAGTCTTTATAAGCAAAGGGAAAAGTTCCAGCTGGGGAGGGGGTGATGTCCATCTATCATTATTGTACTTACCAAGTAATTATAGTGAGTTATTTTGTCAATGTATGGACTCTTGGGGGTAACAATGATATTCATATTTTCTCCCACAAGCAAAGCTTTGTAGTTTTCAGTCCAATCAATATAAAGGTAGCTTTGACTATGAGATGAATATGTAATTGCTCGGTAATCTTTGCTGGCCTGATTATCTTCTGGAAGATCTGGGGCATCAGTTCTGATCTGAAAAGGAACATTTTAAAACCTCATGTGGACTGGGAGTAATGTTTTCTGTTAAAAATATTTTTAAAATTATTTGCTTTATAAATTTCTAAACTTCACAATGTCGAATGTTCAAGGGGGGAAAACCTCCATTACTTACAGTGTTTGTACAGCTGTGGTATCAAGTAACTTTACAAAGACTATGGAAAATAATGAGGGGATTATGGGTTCTGGTGGAAAGGTTGGGTGAACTGAAGAAAGAAGGCTGCTCCAGGAACAAAATTGGCACCCTTCCTGAAATATCAGAGTAGGCAGGGATTTCTCTATCTAGTGGATGGGATGGCAGGAGTTGAAAATAGAAGGGAAGTGGACTGGGAATAAAAGTTATGAATGAATGTCACAGAGACTATCTGACCTGTTCCATTGTGAAGGGACACAAAGGAGTGCTTACAAAGACGAGGTGAGGCAGGGATGATAGCATGGCAGTACTATCTGCTTTCAGACAGCAGAAAAGTTTCTAGCTCAAACTTAAGAGTTAGATGCACATTGGTTTGCATTCTAGTATGGCCGCTTCTTCATTTGGGGTAAGTTATTTAATCAAAAGAGAGGAAGAAACCTGTTTCCTAGCCACAAAATTGCAAAGATAATACTCTCTAGCTCATATTGTGGATTTAATGGATATGAAAAGTTTTCTTCACACAGCTCTTAGCACAATGCCTAAGCACTTAGTAAGTGCTCAGTAGATTGTGAACACAGGCATGTGGCAGCCATTGACCTGAGTTGTTAACTTACTCACATTTTATTTGAGGTTCGGAATTTAAACATATGTTTTGGAAGAGAAGACAATTAAGTGAGCTCTAAAGTAGAATGGTTTGTTCATTAGAAAAAGGGAGGTTTTTCACTTTTGACCTTTCCGTGTCTCTGAAAAGAGATAACAAGTAGGGCAGGGGACATTCCTACCACTAGTATCCTCTGCTATACCTATTCTCAAGCTTCTGTATTCTAGTAGAGTCTTCTTGGTGTAAGAGAAAATAGTTATTTCCATAACCAAATTGATAGATTTATCTTCCTCAAGGATCATTCAATGGATTAACAGATTGTCTCTGGTACTCATTTGTTTTGGATGGAAAATTGTGGAACTATTTACTGGACTCATGGATAAAATCTGCCACATCTGTTCTGTACACTAGCCAAAACATATAGCCAAAAGTACACATTGTCCTAGAAAATGTAGCAGGAAGATTCGCTCACATAAAACTCCAGCGCTGTCACTCCGGATGGGAGATTAACCACAAAAGCAGCCACTCCATCATTGAGATGTGACACACTTCTCTGTGATTCCAAGTCAGAGGTCTCTTGGTTTATATCAACGGTTTGTGCATTCAAGGTTACTGGTACCCCTCCTACCAACTGGTCAAGTGAATCTTTGACCTGAACCTGTGTATCAAAACAATTCAAATCCATTTCAATAGCTCTTCATGTCTTTTAAAGCACAACAACTCTGAAATTGTTTTCCTTTGCCTTGCCATGGGGCTCCCCCTGGCCCCACATACCTTGATGGAATATGGAATCCCAGGCTTCAAGAAAAGAGGAGTAGCAACCAAATTCAGTTTGTAGGGAGAGAGGACATATTTGATGCCAGGTACTTCTGCCTCTTCAGAAAATCCACCTAAGGGAATGACAAGATTGTGGTAACATTTTTAGAATTCTAATCACCTGTAGGATGTTTACCTTGCCTCTGTCTCCACAAACTTATTCATTCACATACCCCCTTTCTGCCTCATTCAGTCATCAACAGAAATTAAGACATAGTTCTTGGTTCAAAGCGGCAGTGCAGAAAAGAATTTCAACCAAAGTCTTTATAGAAGGCTCATTTGTAGAGAGAGATACCCTTGTGGAAATGGAGCTATAACTCTAGACTAAGGAGGAATGTGAGAGGATACCACTTTTTAACAATGGCCTGAGTTTTAGTTGAGAATTCAAAGGAGTGAGGAGAGGAGAGCTGGGTAGACCAGAGACTGAACCTTACAGGTGTTCACAGTCAGATTGGAGAGTGTGGAGAGAAGTAAAGAACTAGAAAAAGGGAGACTCCTGAGTCCACTTGAAAGTGCCCAATAATGTTACCCAATGGCTAAGAACCAAGTTAAACATTAAGAATAACATAGTCTCCTCAAACTCCTTTCTAGCATTGCATCTTTAACATCCCTGGACATATCTTATACTACAGCCAAACTGGACAACCCGCTATTCCCAAAGATCAAGCTTCGCTTTCCACTCTTCTCAGTCTGGCTTCTTTATGGAGGGAGTCCACTTCCAAACCCTTCTTCTCCTTCAAGACTGACCATGTGGGCAAAGCTATTCCTAGTTACTTAACAATAGTCTAGAAGCTTGCCTTCCTTTGAAGGTCACTAGCATTAAGTGTTTTGTTTAAAGCACATATGTAATTCTGTCTTGTAACAGGGGTCTTTGTTTACCATCTTACACCTGATGCTAGTTTATAAACCACTTAAGTGCTGGCATTATACATTATTCATATTTGTAAGACTGTGTGTTTACCAACACTTCTCAAACCCATAAATATTGTTTAAACTGAGTTTATGTGAAGTAAATTGAGGACCGATTCAAAAAAATGTTGAAAACTCCTAGCCAGTGCAAGGAATATACAGTCATCATCACTGTCCAACATTTGTTGGTCCATGGTATATGCAGGTGTCAGTACCTGGAACATTATTTCAGTTCTTCATTCTGCTACCAGAGAAGGACTCCACATTTAAAGGGGTAAAAGGGACCTTAGGAATCACCCAGGTCTAACTCTTACTTTACAAAAAAAAAATTGGGCTTAGTGTGGTTAAATTATTTATTCAAGGTTAACTGAGAATTTGATATAAATCTGAAAATATGAATAATGTTACTAATAAAGACATACTAGAAGTAAGACAGTTTGACTCAACTTGGAGTAATAATTAATAACTATTATAAACCATTGAGTGAGGTTGGGAGCACTAGTCAAGATGTGAAGCTAAAGATGAAGTAGGTGGGCCCTTGAAGAAAAAAGAGGAGAAAGAGAAGGAAGAAAAGGAAGGAGAGGAGGGGGAGGAGAAGGAGGACTAACACTAAGATGGCACTCATTAGTGACAGGCACTGTTTTGGCGCTCTGTATATATGGATTCTTTGATTATCATCCTAACCCTATTAAGTACATATGATTATTATACCCATTTTAGAAACATATTAGTCCCTCTAATTTTAGGTAATATTTTTGAGTTTTACACCTGAAAAGAGCTTTTGGAAGCATTTAGTTCAACTCCATCATTGCACCGATAAGGAGACCAGAACAATGATAATAGTGGTTAATTACATTTCTATAGTAACTTATCTAACATTTGCATATATCTAATCACATTTGATTTTGATTCTAGCTAGGTGAGAACACTGTGATGTCAGATGTTTGAGTAAAACAGCTGTAGAGCCAACTGTACAGATATCAACTGAGAGATGTTATTCCGTTTTTGCAGTTCAGATAATAGGAACCCAGGGCTTGCCCAATGACTACAGAGTAGCACAGCTCTACTCTAATTCTAGTTCTTAAAAGACATAGAAAGTAAAATTTAACTGAGAAGGAAAATGAAATATAAAGGAACCACAGAGATCATTTACACCATTGAAATATTGTCAAAATATTTCCTCAAAGTTACACACACACACACACACACACACACACACACAAAACTTACCTGTAGACTCTACGACAGTTACAGCAATGTAGAGGTACTTATTGTTTAAATCTTCTAGACTCTCATATGACAGTTCTTTAACTGCCGTTTCAGAATCAAATGTGACATGAGCAATTCCATTTATCAACTTTTTAAAAGGGAAAATGGAAGAGTTAATTTAGAGAAGAATGTATAAGGAAAAATAAAACCTTTTGAATCGAAAGCAAATATCAGAGGGTTGGTAAAGTGTATGACTGAGCGCACAATGAAGCCAAGAATGTTATTTTTTAATGTTTTTGTACAGAGTCTTGAGCATCACATAGTCCTGTTGGTATCAGCTGACAAAGATGCCTTCTTCCAATCCCTGAGTCATCATCCATATTTGTAGGCCTTCAAGTTAATTCTGCTCTTCACTGGATTTTATATTTAATTTGTACTTTATTGTTTACAGAGTTAAACATAAAATTTAAAAATATATAATAAGTAAAGAGGTATGAGGTTAATTTATACCATATTATTTATTAAAATAGATTTTGTGTTTTTATTTTAAAATTATTTGACTTGAAAACACCCATTTTTGCCTGATTTACCTATATTTTTATCTTTATTTATTTTTTAATGCTGAGTATTGAACCCAGGACCTCATGTGTGCTAAGCATGTGTTCTGCCACTGAGCTCCACCCCACCCCTGATTCAGCTTTTAATCTCAGAGCCTACAGTAGAATCCTACATTAACAAAATAAGGTAGTCTTAAAAAGCAGAGGCTAAATAATTGATTATGTAAAATACGTGAATATGCAAAGGGGAACAAAACAGTACACGAACCTCTATCATCTGTGGTATAATGTAGGAAAAGGGGCCAGCACCATTATTTCCGTTCCAGCAACCACTAGTCTTAACCATGGACAAATGCCTTCATGAGTATTTATAAATCACCTACTCTTTGCAAGGAAATATGCTGTCTTGGGGTATATAAGGGATGATTTAGACCTACAGAGTCTAAAATAAAAATGATGGATAAGTAAACAAACCATTCCAATACAGAAGGGATTCTCAACATGAGAACTGGCCTTTTGGACAGGATAATTTTTTGCTGTTTATGTTGGGGTGCTCTGCACATTGTAGGAATTTAGTAGCATCCCTGCCTCTACCCACAAATGCCAATAGCACCCTCTTCTCCAGTTGGGACAACCACAGATGACTGTGGTCATTGTCAAAATTTCCTTTGGGAGTAAAACTGTCCCTGGTTGAGAAGTACTATAAGAAAGTGTGAAGCATGCTCTAAAAGAAAGGCTCAGGCCTGAAGGCAGCTAACCCAGTTCAGAGGAGGCGGGGTGTCCCAGAGAAAGGGTGTCAATGTTGAAATTTAAAAAATGAGAAGGACTTAGTCAAGCAAAGAAGAGACAGGAAGGGAGAGAAGGAAAGAGCAAAGACCTGCAGGCAAGAGAAACTATTGTAAGTTTGAGAACTTGGAGCAATTAGTACAAGGGGGAGGAAGCAAGAAGTGGCGTGAGATCAGCTGGCAAGGGAGGCTAATGCCAAGGACACTGGCCTTTGTCCTAAGGGCAATGGGAAGCCAATGGAGATTTGAAGACTTCACTCCCACACCTATGTAGAATGAGGGATTGGTCTAAGGGTTTTGAGGTAACTTCCCATCCTCAACATCTTACCATTGTGTTTCTCATTGCTTTTTGCATCATTTCTTTTTGATCTTCTTTTATGTCTTCTCTTATTCCAAAAAAGATATAAACTTCAGCCTCGGTGACTACTTTATTGTAAAAATATCTGTCAAATGATATCATAAAATCGTTTAGCTAACATGGTTATAATAATAAGACTCAGATAAAATGTAACAATTTGAAAGTATATAAAGCACTTGACATACTTCCATCTGGTGTTACATTTCATCCTCAATAATGTCACAATAAGAAAGCTAGAGTATGGGTTACTAGTTGTGTGGCTAGATGAAAGAGCTGACCTTGGGGAGATCAAGACTCAGCCAGGGCCCTATCTTCCAGTCCTCCTTACTTCCTCAATGATTTTTATATCAGTGGGGAGCTACTCCCCAGTTTATGTCTTTAAAAGGAGCATGCCTGGTATCACTGTTTGAGATAAGCTTTCTTTTGCATTCCTGAGGGATCATTAATCTTTAGGATGATGATGATTATTACCATTGTTGTTATCATTTTGCTTGTGAATAACCAACAAAGCTAAAATCAGAATAGCAAGTAAACTGCTAGCATGGTATCTCCTCAGTCAGTCCATCCCGGGCCTTAGTACACTGCTAATAAATCACAGATCACATTTTGGTTAAGTATCAACAACCAGAGTGGGCCCTCAATTGAGCTGGTTAATCTAAAAAAAAAAAGTAATATTCTTACCTTGCTTTTATAGTAATATCAAATTTCTTAAAATTATTGTAACCAATGAAATTACTTTCTGGTTCTATCAAAACAGAAAAATGTGGCAAAACTGAAAATAGAAATGAAGAGGCAATATTACCACTTAAGTTAGAGTAACCTGCAAAATAAACCAAGCTGCTCTGCTTTTCTAGTTGGACAAACTGTAACATTAACACAGCATCCACCACCTCCTTCTCCTTGTCATCATCAACAACGTTTTTAGGAGCTTCCCATTATACAAATCAGAGTTGATCCAGCCTCCATGTCCCAGAAGCACTTGGCTTATATCTTGATTATAGCATTTATTATGGGCAACAGATTATTTCCTGCAGTAGAGGAAGGCCTTCTTAAAAACAAACAAAAGACCATTCTGAATTTTTCTTTGTATATTTCTACTCTTACCCTTCTTATAAATCTTAAACATGGTATATGTTCAGTGAGTGTATGTTCTACTGAAAACATAGAACATAGTATATGTTCTGGTGAAAATAGAAAAGGAAAATTCCGGTTTGTTTAGCATTTCCTTTTTTTGTCTAGTAGATAAAATCCATCCAGTCTTGAAGTTCTAGCATAACACTAAATGATAGTAGAAAGGAGAGAGCCTACGATTTTGGCATAAGAACATGAAGGCAAAATTAAAATTTTGGGCAAAACCATTACCTTGATTACCTATGCGAAAACAATTTAATCTATTGAAATAGTACTATGTTCTGTTTATACTAACTCAGAATGTGTACCAGGACTTGTGGATTCTAATTTTAATATTATAGCTAATAGAAAATTGGATGATTTGGTGAACTCTATTTTGTGGACAAAGAAAGACTGACACAGAGTGAGATGGATGGCTTCAGGTATGGCTAATGTGTTTTCTAGATAGTGAAGTCTAGAAGTAAACGAGCAAAGTGATTTATCACTCTGGGCAGTGCTCCTATGTTATCAAAGACCATGTAGCAAACACAAGCCTATCAACAAGGATATACAATGAATGAAATAGACACAGGCTCTCTTTAATGAGTTCACAATCAAGCAGGAAATACAGACATGAGTAAATAACTACATAGATTATTTAATAATTACATAGTAATTAACACTGACAAGAAGAAGTACTAGCAATTCTATCCAGGAAAGAGAATTTAAGGAAAACTTCTCCTAATATATGGCCTTTGAAAGGGCAAACACAACAAGAGGATTGGACTTTGAGCACGTGATAAAATGAGAGCACACAAGGGAGGTATGAGGATAGGTAAGACACCTAAAAAACTAGATAGCATTTGTTGCCCTCAATGCAGAGAAACTAATGCATATACTTTAGAGTGACAGAGGCCAATAGGAGAAGGGGACCGGGAACTAGAGAAAAGGTTAGATCAAGAAGAATTAATTTAGAAAGTAACACACATGCAAAGGGAAGCAATGCAAGTCAACTCCCTATATAGCTATCCTTATCTCAACTAGCAAACCCCTTGGTCCTTCCTATTATTGCTTATACTCTCTCTTCAACAAAATTAGAGATAAGGGCAAAATTAGAGATAAGAGTTTCCGCCTGGTAGTGAGGGGTGGGGAGGAGAGGGAGGGGGTGGGGAGGGAGGGGGCAAGGGAGAGGGCAGGGAGAAGGGGGAAGAAATGATCCAAACATTGTATGCACATATGAATAAAAGAAAAAAAAATTTTTTTAAAGTAAAAAAAAAATAATAAAAATAATAAATTGAGACATGAGACATGAGCAGAGCTGGCTGGGCAAGGAGGGAAAGGAAAAGAGAGGATAGAACATCATCTGCAAAGCCACCAGAGCTGAAGACAGGGGTCAATTCAAAATAAGGATTTCTACTTTCACTATAAGAGGCATGAGGAGCTACTGGGACTTCTCAAGAGTGCAATAATACGATGAGATTTGCACTTCAGGACAATAATTGGCTGATTTCCAAGTGAGATGGTGTGGAAGGAGAGACACCAGTTAAGGAGGCTTTTGAGTAGGCCAGAAGTAAGCCTGCTGATGAACTGATGAGGTTGAGTACACATAAGCAGGGGATGAAATCTAGACATATGTTAAAAATAGCAAAAGCACATAGAGGAAGCAAGATCACCAGAATACACGTTACTGCAAGTCTATAGTCTTTAAGGTTGAGCTTTGTTATAGCAAATATTTTCTTTGTTATTTGTTAAAATTTGTGGATTTACTCTCCTCCCTATTATTATCAATTTCATGAGGGACAAAAAATGACTTCAAGCAGAAGGAAGTTAGATCTCATAGTGGTGCACGCAGATAGTAAACTGCTACAATGGAAAGATTGAGTTACTTACATCTTGCCAGTCTTTTGATATGATCCATTTCCAAATATGAGTATCTTACATAGGGTATTTATGAGTCAGAAGGAAAATAGCACTGGACTAGGAGTAAGGAAACCCAAATGTCTTTTTTCTGTAAATACTTACCGACTGAAAAACTTGAATTGAGTCATTTATTTATCTTATTGGGTTCTTCTCACTTCACCTATGCTTGTTTGTTTCTCCTAAAATCTAGAGAGGACCTTAACAAGTCAATTCCTCAGGAGACTGATCTCTCTCAGCTCTATGAGGAGAAGTACAAGTCCAGAGAGGTTGATCCATTGCCTTAAGGTTAACAGGGAATGGTGGAACTACAACTTGAGCATTTAAACAACCACCACTACTTCCCTACTGCTGTCCCAGCCAGAACTTCCACCCAAACCAGCAGGATGCCTCTTGTCCATCTGGGAGTGATTTGCATTATGTAGAAGACTGAAAAGAATTACTGTAAAGTTTGGCTATGGCAAAGAGAAGCTGTGAAATGAGATTGTTCTAGACTTAATAAAGAAGAATAAAATCATGCACTGGGATTGCTAAGATTTACAGCCAGAAAGAAAGGTGGTTACAGGCATCTATTGGGAGTCTTGGAATTTATGCCCTACATGTAAAGAGGAGAGTAGTGTATTGTCCAAATGTGATATTTGCTAACCTGGTTGGTGTAAAATATTGTGTAAACCTATATTTAATATGAATAAACTTGATTACTACTAAAAGAAAGACACTGCAAAACACTAACTCTTTATAGGTAAACTTGTAATTATCAGAAATTACCATATTCTTTAATTTCAAAATGTGTGGTTCCAGTTGTTGAAAAGTCCTCTTTATATTTAGCTTTAATCGTCCATACACCATACCTGTGAAAGGAAGATATTTAAAATTACAGATGTCATGAAATATTTCTAATTCGCTCACAGGAAATCTAATAAATTCCTATTTAAAGAGGTTAGAATGCACCTAGATCTACTTACCTTAAGTAAGTATTTTGTGAGAAATTTTAAAGCAACAGAAATAACTGAGTAGTTTTAGGATAACAGAAATTGTTTAGGAGCTTTTCATATATTCTGCTATTTTTCCAGGTATTTTATCTTAATATAATCATCAGGCTTGATGATAACTTGAAATCTTACTAAATCTTGGAGCTTTATAATGCTAATGTACTATTAAAATATGCCACATAGTAAAAACCTATAATGTCTCTAGAAACATGAAATGCAGGTTGAGCCCATCTGGATGATAAAATTCACACCTCACGTAAATGAAATGATGGTTGGAGACAAAGTTTTGTTTGTTTAAAGATGAAATAACCTGTATAATTACAACCTTCATTAAAAAATATTTACTAGAGTTGGAGGTAGGAGGTATAGAGCATCTGCCTACAAGCAAGAAACCTTGAGTTCACACCCAGTATCAACAACACAACAACAAATCTGAGTACTAGATTAAGCACTAAAGATTAAAAAACAAACAAGATAGAACAGCTGTGGCCTTCATAGAGTTAATAGTCCATGTGATTTCAAATTCTCACTTTTCCATTTACTAGCAGATTTGGGCAAATTACTTAATTTGTGAAATGAGAAATATAATTTTGCCAATAGGCTATATAGTCAACAAATGGTAATATTATCACTATTACAATTATCATAATTAATTCAGTTAGTATCTATAAAGTACGTATTATATTGAATTGCTGAGATACAATGAGCAATACAGAAAATGGCCCTGCCCTCGAGGAGCTTACTATCAAGTGGGGAATAAAAAAAGGCAAGCAAACTAATAAATAAATAGTTACAACATTGAGACAAGTGTCATTAAGTCAGAAAGAAAATATACACAATGGGGTGGGGGAGGAGAAAGGGGGAGAGAGAGAGAGACTACATGCATGGATAACTTCTTTGCAAGCTCATCATTTTACCCATGTCCTAAAGGTAAGAAGGAGCTAGCTTTGTGAGGAGCAGGTCAAAGCACTTTCTAAAAAAGAAAGCAGAAAGTACAGCAGGGGCAAAGGTACTGAGGTGGTAGGTATTGATCATGGTAGACTCCTATGACTGACACATAATCTGCCATGGGGCAAGAGGCATTAAACAAACAATAGTTAACCAGTAGGTTCAATTCTATACATAAAGCATGTAGTATTTTCAAATAATCTAAATTATTTACATTTCCCAATATCAATAGAAAATTCTAGAAAATCTTTAGTACAATGAGTTAGTTACAAACTATCTTCTAGAAGGCAAAGGAAAAATGACCATAAAAGAATTTGAAGTTATATTGTAGACATTTACAGGTGCCCTGCGGATTCTCCATTTCTATTTTGCATCTCTCACTCCTGCTGTGATTTAAATACACCAGAATATATCCACCAAATATGTATTATATTAAGTCTTGTTTAAATATGTTCTTAAATCCTTTCATGTCAGGCCAAATGGAAGAAATGGCCCTGAAAACACACCTCTGTCCTTGGTGGTTCATGTAGACAAACACCACAGAGGACTCTGCTTTATAACATCGAAGGCAAGGAAAGGACCACACCAACAGTCTATTAGATTCCTTCAGTCAGGAGTTAGCTGATAGTTTTAATGTTAAAAAGAAATCCCAGGAACCAAGGTAAAGATCAGTTAGAGTTGAATCAACATGGGTCGTAACACATGGGTACATGAAAGCAATAGTAGGAATCTCTCTGTATAGCTATCCTTAACTCAACTAGCAAAAATGCTTTGTCTTTCTTATTATGCATATGTCCTTTCTTCAACAGAATCAGTGATAAGGGCAGAACGGGACCTGCCTGAAACTGAGGAGGGGAAGGGCGAGGGGGAAGGGTGGGAGAGGGGGGCAGGGTGGAGAAATGACCCAAACAATGTATGCACATATGAATAAACAAACAAACAGAAATCCCAGGAGCTATTTTTGCCTCTTCTCATTTTTTATTGCTATATGTAAAGAGAATGGGCAAGAAGTTCTGGAATTTTGTTTTTGAGACAGGGTCTCACTGTGTTGCCTGAGTTGGCCCTGAACGCCTGGGCATCTCCTATCTCAGCCTCCTGAGAAGCTGGGACTACAGGTGGGATGTGCTGGACTCTAGTTTTGGGGATTTTTTTTGGTAGGGGCCAGGTGAGCCTAATTCCTCATGAGACTTTAAAAGATTTTGGGTTGCATGCCAGTGGCTCATATTTGTAATCTTAACTATTTGGGAGGCTGAGATCTAGAGGACTTCAGTTCTAGGCCACCCCAGGCAAAAAAGTTTGTGACTGCACCTCAACAGAAAAAAGCTAGGTGTGGTAGTAAACGCCTGTCATCCCAGCTACAGCAGGCAGCCTAAAATAAGAGGATCATGGTCCAGGATAGCCTGGGGGAAAAAAGCAAGACCCCATTTCTGATATAACCAGAGCAAAATGGGCTGGTGGAGTGGCTCAAGTGGTAGAGCGCTTACCTAGTAAGCATGAACCCCTGAATTCAAACTCCAGTACCATCAATAATAGCAATAATAATAATAATAATAAAAGTATATCCACATTTGTCACACACTTTTTTTTACCACTAGGTGGCTGCATTTGACTGCTCATCTGCCTCACAGCCAAACGTTCCAGATAAGCTTTTAGAGACATTTTAACAAATATGCTTACATACTTAGGATTAGGCGGAACCTTGAAGTCAGGAAACGAGATAATTCCAGTATAATCATTTTCTTCTACCATGTCAACCTCTGATCCTTCGGGTCCTTGAATAAAAATAAACATCTTTGTCTTAGTTTCTTTTCTATTGTTATAAAATAACATCTGAGACTGGGTTAATTTATAAAGAATAGAGATTTATTTTGGTGCATAGCTGTGCATGCTGGGAAGTGCAAGAGGGTGGCAATAAAACGTGATGAGGAAGGGGAGTTGTTCTGGTTCATCTCATGGTGAAAAAGCAGAAGGGAAAGCATTGTGAAGCTTGATTTTAAGACAAAGACACTACCACAATAATTCACTCCCATAAGAATAGTTGCTCATCAGGATGGAGCCTTTATCGACGGACCCAAACACCTCTCACTGAGCCCCATTGCAGTATTGTTATTCTAGGAACTGAGGTTTCAACACACGAATGTTTTGGGGGGCACATCTGAACTATATCAGACCTCAAAGCACTGAAATTACATTTAAAAAATTTAAACTGATTGTATGATCTTTGATGTACAAAAACATTTACCAACAAACACCAAGGTCTTCAAATTAAATTTGAAGACCAAATTCAATGAAATGTTATGAAGACAAACTCCCTATCTCCTCTCACCCTCCAGAAAAGCCTCCATTCTCTATTGTACAATCACAAAGAAGAAGTGTAACAAAGTATAAACAACATTTGAAGGTTGAGACTTTTACAAATTAAAAAAAGCTTTAAAAAAGATAAAATGTAAATGACAATAACAAAACTCTGTTTTTAATAAGCCGAATGTGAACTTAGCACGCTTCATAAATACCAGATTCTAGTTTTTATATATGTTCATTTGAAGTTCTCCAAAGGAAATATTCTATAAAGGATATATTTTTAGATAGACATTTGATAAATGTACAACATGGACATTTTAAGATTCAAATAACCTTCAAAACATTAAGGAAGCTTAAAAGTTCTCATAAACTTCCCCATAGCATTGTTTTGTGTTTAGGTTAGCAAATTATTGAGATGAGGTTTTGACTTTCTTTGAACTACACATAGAGATCCAGTTTAGCCTTAACTTAAAAGCAGCACCATTTACCATGACTGAAATTCATGGATGGAATTCCAAGATATTTGTTTCTTGAGTTACAAGTTATAAAATGTACAAAAGTCTCTTTTAAACCAGAAAGACACTCATAGCTAAGATTCTTCCTGACTGCTCTTCACCTCATCCTAAATTGTGCACAGGCTATCTAAGATGATTTTTCTCAAGTTCTATTTGCAGAATACTTTCTACATACTGACTCCCTGTGGCTTTGGAAAGAGCTCCCCAACCCTCTCTCCCTGGGGAAGCTCTAACAGGGATGACTGGCATGCATTCTGCTTCACTCAGGTTCCACGATGGAGACTTGGGATAACGAGAGAGCACATGCCCTCCTTCCCCTGGTGTTCTCTTATAGAAAAGAGAGCATTTGAGTCAACCTGCCTCTGCTAAGTTCTCTTCCAGACATTCCATCAGTCAGCCAATTTACTTAACATTCTCATTCGTCTACCTACTATTCTCATTTTCTTTCTGCTCTCGTAGACTAATTCATGCCATTTCTTATATAAGATGGTCTTCATTATTTTAAAAGAACCAATGTTGGGTGAATATCATCAAAGTTACTTTACATCCACGAATAAAAATATCATAATGAAGCCTACATTTTGTACGTGAATCACCGAATGATTCAGGAGTAGTGTGAGGGCATGGCTATGAAATGAAAGTCTTGTACTGAAAATGAATTCAAATATTATTTGAATAAATAAACTACTTACTATGAAAGTTAAAACAGCTTCTCTTTTGGCCGGCTTCAAGTCATCATTCAGTGAATAAACTCGAATCTTAACTGTAAAAACAATTGATCTTATCAAAACTCTGAAAAAAAAACAACTAGCATTTTGAATTTTAAAACAATCCTTAAAGAGATAAATCTCATTTTAAAAACTGAATATACACAGCTGGATGCCAGTGGCTCACGCCTGTAATGCTAGCTATTCAGGAGGCAGATATCAGGAGGATTGCAGTTCGAAGCCAGCCCAGGCAAATAGTTCATGAGACCCTATCTTGAAAAACCCTTCACAAAAATAGGGCTGGTGGAGGCTCAAGGTGAAGGCCCTGAGTTCAAGCCCCAGTACCTCAAAAAAATCACCACCAACAAAAAAAAACAATACTTACACAAAACTGCGTATTTAAAATAAAGAAAATATCAGTTAACACATAGAATGCATTATTAAAAATTTTATTTAAAAAAGAATCCTCTGAAATCCTTTCAAGAATTTCTCTTCCTAGTGAACTTAAAGTATAATTTTTTTTATTAAATACACTTATACTCAATGTTTTGGGAACACGTTTATGGTACAAGGTTAGTTATATTTATAATTAGGTATTTATTTACCAAGACTTTCGTAGAATCAAAATAGTAACATCTAACATATTGTTATATGTCTCATATTAGGGCTTAAGCTTTAATGGAAAATTGGGAGCTTGATTCCGGCATTGTATACTCTTACACTTATGAAAGTCAACAAGGCTCCCGATCAGCTCTTTTATGAAAGGCAGCTTCGAATTGTATGGCTTTGTTACATTTATTAATCCAGATACCGCAATTGTTCTCTCCTTTTTAAAAGAACAATGGCAGGGCTCGGTTAGTTTTCTTCCACTTCTTTCTGTCAGTTAATTGACTTTTTTACTCACTAAACGGAAGCCTCCAACTAGTTCTTAACATTTAGCAAGTATCTAGTGTGTGTAAAGTTTTCAACAAAACATTCTGGTCTTGCTCCCTTTCTCTGTCCTTCCCTGACAAAATCATTAATGACATATATGTCTTTCATAATTCTGTCTCTGATATGCTCAAAATTCAAGGATGGCAAAAGGAAAGATGAAGGAATTGAAGGCTTTTGTGAACACATGAATGTATTGGGCAACATTCATATTTTTCAGTCTTATTTTTGGTTCATTCAGAAAAATACTAGGCATTCCTGAATCACAGGGCTTTGACTGGCTATTCTACCTTCCCCTCACTAACAGAAGAACTGTAAATATGAAATAGTTCTTAGGTACATACCCTTTGAGAATTAATATCCATACATTTCTGTGGTCTAGTTTACTCTGTGCTGAAATAGCTAACCCTCTAAGGTTGGATTTGTTTTCCCATCTTAGGAATTAGGTACAGAGTCTATGAAATTTTTCATAAGCATAATGAATAATTTTATTAATTTATAACAAATAATTTTCTCATTGCCAAATGAGAAAAGTCTACTATTTAATGACTAAGCTCTAACACAACATAATACAATGTGTAAATAACTAATAGGCAGCTACTGTAATTACTGACCTTATTTAGCAATTCCTCTATAAATTAAAATTAAAAATTTAACATATAAAAATCATTAGGAATTGAGTGTCTATTGAGCATGATGAAAACCTGTCTTCATTCTCTCAGGGTTAAGAAATTTACAATATGGTGTCAATTTTCCCACAAAGAAAGAAGCGTCTCATACTCTACCTGACTGAGTTGGAGTATACACAGGTTTGTCTGTTTGAACAAAGAGAAACCCATTCTCATAGGTTATTGGAATTTGTTTCGATTTTGAAAAATGCTTTGATAAAACTTCCAGATATACATGTGAAACTGAGTTTTGTCCTCCAGACAATTGTTTGGGTTGTATCTGTAAAGAAAATGTTGATAGAAAAAAATAGAGAATTCTAAGGGTATAAAGCATGTTGACTTTCTATAAATCACACCAAGTATCTTTTAGCAAGTATCTATTGTGCAAAGTTTTTCAACAAAGCATGCTGGCTCTGCCTCCCTTTCTCCAACAGTATCATTAATGAAACATCATAGCCTGCTCTTTTCACATCCATATCTCTCTCTGATGTGCTCAAAAGTCAATGATGTCAAGAAGGAACAATGAAAGAATTGGTTCTCATTAGAACCAAAAATGAGTGTGTGTATCTGATCAGTTAAAAAGTCGTATAGCCTGGCACTCTGGAGGCTGTGGCAGGAGAATTGTGAGTTCAAGGCCAGCCTGAGTTAGTGAGACCCTGCCTCAAATGCCAACCAACTAATCAACCAACCAACCAAAAACAAAAACAAAAACCAGTTGTACAGGAGCCACAAGAGTAAATTAATTTAGCCCAAAGCCTTTCAGGGTCTAATGTCATAATCAAATTTCACTTTAAGCAGTTGAATATCTTTTGTTTCCATGTTTTCTTTAAATAAAATTACTGCTATAGAAGCATATAAGAAGCATATAGAAGCATATAATTACCTCCTGTGTTAACCCATGTTCTTCATTCTCCACAGACAACATCTTAACTGATGGTCTGGACACTTTGTATTTTATCACACACTTCTGCTCTCACAGGGTGGATGTACACTTTCTAGTTTGTGTATTTGATTGCAATTTAACCCCTTAAATTCCACAATATATGAATTTCATACATAAACATATGTAATAAGAGGGAAAAGTGTTTCTATGAGATTGTAGGCTTGGAAACATGGGCTAAAAGTTAATCACTAAAAGCAACTGCTGTGGAATTAAGTACTGAGAATCATGTAGAAATTTGAAAAATACAGTAAAAATATCTATAGATTTTCTGCACTTGGGTTGCTTTACAAGTGTCTCAGAAACAAACTACAGACCAACGATGATTCATTAAAGGTTTAACAGGTAATAAAGTTGACACTGTAGTCAGCAGATTCAAAGATAAGACTATAGGTCAATATCAAACAACCGGCAAGAAAGATGCTTTATACTGTTGCAATAAATCAGATGCTTAAGATGTGTATCATGTTTATGATTTCATCTTCATTGACTTTCTCAATTAACTTTCTGAGATGATGGAAATGTTCAATATCTATGGCAGCCACTAGTCACACATGGCTACTTGAGCACTTGAAATATGGCCATTGTGAATGAGAAACTCAACTTTTAGTTTCAGTTACATTTAATTTATTTAAATTTAAAGGTAAAGATCCACACATGACTAGAGGCTACATTGCTCATTATCAAATAAGAGTATCTACTAAAAATAACACTTTGGAGAGTGAATTTTAATTTTTAATAAACTTAGTAAGTGGGAGTATTTGTTAAGTGATGAGTATATTTACTGTCAAAAGTATTAATGAAAGAATTCCTATGTTTGGTTAGAATTTATTTGGGTCAATGTTTCTCAAACATGATTAACACACACACAGAAATATAAATATATATATGTATTCCTTTAATAGATAAATGACATGGAAGGCTCTCAGTGTTGACATTTTATTCTTTACAATGTAACAAAAATGATTTATAATGTGACTTAAATATATACAAACCTAAAATTAAGTATAATGTTCTTATGGTCTTTAGATATTTAAAAATCAAATTTACACAATAAATTCAAAATACTATGAAATTAATATAATTCTAGTTTTAAGCTTTTATTAAATTAAAATTTTAATTTTCTTTGTAAAGAAATCACTCTGGGAAACCCAGGTGTAAATGAACCACTTGGACCCTTCCAGGTCAGATAGTCTCAAATTTTCCTGGTTCTTTATTATCAGAATTTTTAATCAGAAATAAGTTGCAAGTATGCCTCTACCCAGTCTATACTATGATGCCATTTTTTTAACTTTTTATATTTGGTGGGACTGGGATTTGAACTCTGGACTTCACGCTTGCAAAGCAGGTGCTCTACCACTCGAGCCACATCTCCAATCCGTTTTGCTCTGGTTACTTTGGAGATGGGGTTTCATGAACCATTTGCTGGCACTGAACTACAATCCTCCCAATCTCAGCCTCCCAAGTAGCTAGGATTATAGGGTGAGCCACCAGCGCCCTGTAATATAATGTCTTACTGGATGTAGAATTTATTTGATCCAGCTTGTTCTTTCTGTTCATTGTGGGTTGGCGATGTGAACTGGCCACTGTAATAATCAATCATTTTCCTAGGAGTTATACATCTAATTGAAGAATACTGTAGTTTAAACATACAAATGTTCGACGGCAACCATGGATTTTTTTAAGCAATGCACTACAGATCAGCGTGACTATCTATATTCCTCTATTTCTTTTTTGATACAAAAATTATTTTTTGTTCATTTGCAAGTATTTATTTCCATATTAGTACTTTTTTATCTTCTAAGGAGAATCTTATCATTTACATGCATTTCTTAAAAAATAAACACAATTTTTCTGTTCAGAATCTTCTATTTCACTCATACAATCATTGGTTACTGATTATCATCTAAGAAGCCCACAGGGTAGGCAGATGCAAATGAGTAAATCCCTATGTTATCAATATTCAAACTTTGTGCATATTTTATCAAAATATTCTGTGTATGTAAAGAAAATGAAAGAGAAATACATACTGTTAAGACTGCAGAGTTTTGGAATTTATTTTCTGGGCGTAAATTGACAGAACCTGAAGAATAACTAAATTTTTTATCGGGATAACTTTTGATAGAGATCGTTGCATCAAATGCTTCGGTGTATCCATAAACTTGGATTACAACACGTTCTGATGCTCCCACACGAAATACTTTTGGTGCTGAAATGACATATCTGTTGAAACAGGAGAAGAAAGGTCCCAATACTGTTACATTGTGCATTTTCTTACACTTCTGATATTTTTCTCTCACTGGAGATTTAATTTCAAATACACATATTTCAACTTAAAATGGTCTATTAAAATCAAACTTTATTTTATGATCTATAATTTTAGCCTACTTTCCAAGAAGAAATAGCTTGCAATTAAGATTTGACATAGATTTGGTTCACATTTAGAATAATACCACCTTCCTTGGGCTATTCAACTAAGGATGATTTAATGGGGTTGACTAGAATATAAGTAGGCTGATTTTTCTTTTCTTTCTTTTTTGTTTCCTCAGTGGAGAAGAAAGCAACATAGCCATTGAATACCAGCTGTGTCACCTGCTGGCTGAGTGACTGAGGTAATGTCAGTACCCTGAGTCTGAAATGATATACCTATGAAAATGTCACTTTTACTCTGCTGTGGTAAGGATTAAATAAGAACACATATATGAAAGCACCCAGCATGCTTAGTCCTCAATAAATGCAGGATGCATTAGTTTCACTAACTTGGTTTAAAGGAATTACTCTTAGAAATATTACACTACACTAGTGGATGGTAACAACAAAAACAGAATACAAGTGAGCTATTATTCCTAGTTTATAAATGATCAGAGGTTAATTTGATCAAGGTCATATGGCTTCTAAGTGAATGAAGCAGGACTTTATATTCAGGTCTCTCTCAATTGTCTGTATAATTGAGGTCAAGGTCATAAGCATTGTTCAAACCATAGACTGTTCCCTCCATTTCATTTTTCAATCTATACAAGAGTGGAAGTGACTCTATACAAACTTTGAAACACAAATTTTAAGGTGCATTTTTTCATTAAGTGAAAACTTACAAACTAGATTATTAATAATACATTACAAGAGTGTCTAATTTGGACACAGAGAGCCACATATGTTATTACATAAAACAAGAAGTATATATCAACTCAGAAGAAATAGATTGACTCATTCCAGTGTCCTAACAGGCTTTGGGTGTACCCAGCTGGCAGAATTATTGCTCTTGCCATCATTGTGACATTTTAAAAGTCTATGAAAACCACCTAGTCTTTAACAACAATGAAATTAGTTAGACAGCAATGAAATCTTATAAAGCATCTGGCAATTCTACATAACAAGCTTAGAGCCACTTATGGGCAAATTGAAGGATGCCCAGACTTCTAAGCACCATTACAGCCATGCTTAGCAAGGTACCACAGAAAAAGAGAAATGGAAATTTCTCTTTTTACTACTGCTCCCATGTTAAGATGAGCAAACTACTAATTAACTTGCCCTGCCCTGGTCACAGAGCTAGTAAGTTATAGAATTAAGAACTGAACTTGTTTCTAGAATTAACCCTTTCAACAGCTGTCCTAAACTGGACTTATTAAGAATTTTGCAATCAGAAAAATGTAGGTATAAAAAAGCCATTTTAGTTTTAGTATCCTTAGAGGCCTTATCTTGGTCAGTTTAGTATTATTTCTAGTAGTCTCTGTACTGGTAGTCCTGAGACATAAAATATTCAGCATTTAGAAATCTTTAAAAGCTGGCTCTGGAACCATGCTTTATACAAATTTTGGTTCCCACTAATGTATTATCAACACAGTCTATCTTTATGAAGACTTTCATGTTGTCATATTCTTTTAGTACTTGCAGAGGATCAGGCCTCTGAGTTGTAGAGAGACAAGAATAACTCTTTGGCCTTTACCCAGTTACTCTCCAGATATCTGCATGGCTTGCTCCTTCAGTCCTTCAAGCTCTGTTTGAGTGTCACCTCCTTAAGAGAACTTTTCCATTCACAGTTTTAAATAGTGCCCCATCATTTCTTTATCTTCTTTCTCTGTTTATTTTTTCTTCATAATACTAAAAACTACCTGTCCTTATTAATTCATTTTTCATTGGTTGGTTCTTTTCTCCCTCCCTCCCTTCCTTCTTTCCTTCTTTCCTTTGTTTTCCCAACTAGAATGCAAACTCTAGGAATTGTCTTTTCCCATCTGCTACATCCTCAAGGCCTATCACATGATAGATGATCAATAATGTGAAGTCAATTAATCTTAATCTCTCTGAGCTTCAGCTGCTTGTCTTTCAGAGAGGAAAAATAAAAATTGCCTAAGGTAATGGAGTGACTGTGGCCATGTGAAAAACATTTTCATATATATGTGTGTGTGTGTATTATATATATACTCATATCTATATATAGATTGCAAAATTGAAGTGGCAAACAGGAGACCTTAATAAAACCATGACTCTGTCTCTGTCAAAGTAGTGTGACTTTTGGCCACTCACTTCCCCTATCTGGATTTAGCCTCTTAAATAAGATGTGTACAGCCAGTTAGATAATTTCTAGGTACTTTTCAGTGCAAAATTTATCAATATAAGCTCATTGTATGAATAGTTTAAAACTCACAAATTTCATTAACACTAAAAGTTTTGAAGAATCATCTCTTAAACATAAAATTACAAAAATAGATTTTCAAATCACGGTATTAGAATGGAACCCCAAGTAACTCTGGCTTAACTTTACAGCATCCATAAAAACTACAAAGAAAACTAAGGACCAAATACAAATAAGCACTAAATACCAAGAAAGTTTATTATCTTGAGTTTATTTTGTGCTTTTTTTTTTTTCGGTGCTGGGGACCGAACTCAGGGCCTTGCACTTGCCAGGCAAGCACTCCTCCACTGAGCTAAATCCCCAATCCCTATTTTGTGCTTTTTTAAAGAGGAATTTGAATGATCATTTATATGAATTTTTATAAATAACAGCCCTGCAAAACTGTCATGCTGTTAGCTGCTCATCAAATCAAAATGCTTCCATGACTTTCTTATTCAGAGATGAGACTATACATTTGGTGAAAGTTATTTTCAAAGTACACAATCTGTTGAATTTATTTTTCCACTCATCATGATTAACATGCAGTATAAAATGAAAATGGTTTATTTTTACTTACGTTTGTTCCTGTCCCCAGCTATTCTCCAGAAAGATTAAAAAACAAAGTATTCCCAAAGGGCCCATGGTTGGAGGTGGTATAAAACCATGGAGTAAACTTTTTGAAGCTACTTCCCTTTTAAATAAACTGAGCTTCAAAAAGTTGGACAAATTAGTTCTCTAGTTAATTATTAATGTCTTAAAAAGGAATCTTTAAGGAAGAAAACTAAAAGTGGAACTAAATCACTCTCATACCCATGAATAAAGATAGGAAGTATTTTATAGGAATTTACACACAGGGGACTTATTTTTTTCATTCCTCCTCCACCCTAGCTTGTTTTGCAGTGCTGAGGATAAAACTCATGGCCTTATGCATGCTAGGCAAGCACTCTACCACTTAGCTAGTTCCCCAGCATCCCAAGGGACTTGTTTTTATTAATGCAAATAGAAGAACTCTAAAATGGAAATGTAGTACCATGAAGAATGGCTCAACACTAAAATCCAGCAATTCCCATTTCCTTTGACCTTTCATCTCTAGACCAACATTTGGTCTGATGTATCATCTTTGAGCAAGCCTCTGGTAGGTCACACTGTTTCTGATACTGACAGAGACTTACCTTAAATTTGGTTTCAAATTGAGATGATTTTAGAATGTGTCTGAATTAAACAGAAGTCAAAAGTTTGTCTTTTATGGAGAAGACCTGAGTGGTAGCATCCTTGCTGCTGGAAATGATCTAGAGATAACGTAGATGTGGAAAGGGGGTCCAGGGAATTGCTTCTTGGTCTGTCCCAGTCTAGGAAGAAGTTCTGAAGAGTAGATGGAGAAAAGATTGTGACTAACAGTGAAAATGTCACACTGAGGATGCTGGCATTATTCTCCAAGTTGCCAATCAAACTATTAATTCATATATTACTCATTCAAAATTTACCTTCACTCAAACATGGAATATTTTTATCTAAAAAATTAATAAATTTCAGTGAGAAGTTTAATATAAAAGTTCCATGTGAACAAAGCTTCCTGTGACAATTGAGTCTTGTAACAAACTTACAATTAAGTAAAATTTTATCTTAAAGATTTTAAATTAATTTATTTTTCTGATGTTTTATGCTCATTAACAAATTTTTATTTACACTTTTCTTTGATTAGACTGACTTCTTCCTTACTATATAATATGTATTCTGTTTAAAGTAATGAAATAGATGTCTCTAAATATATTAGCATAAATCAGATGTTTATAGTCACCCTGGCATTCCTTGCTTTGAATTAACAAAGTTCTGTTTACCAATACATTAATGCTGAGTTTGTTAGGGAGAAAAGGAGTTCAAAGCAGAATTTGATATACGAATTCCATGAAATGGCAAAAATCTGCTACTGTTGTCTGACCATCTAACCCACTTATTTCAACAGGGAATCTGTAGAATGATTAAGCCAGGTTGTGAAAGATGGGTCAAATTAAAACAAACAAAGTGCTTTTGCCATCATTTTCGGGAAAAGAAACTTAGGAGAGAGCAAGCACACTCCAATCAGCATAGGTAATATTTGTATTTTAAGTGCAAAGAAGTTTGATTGTGCTATAGGGTAAATGCTAATGAATGGTATTTTCAAACCACTGGCATTTCTCAGCCAAAAAAAAAAAAAACGTTATGGATCTCAATGGTTCTCAATAGAACTGAAGCTCAGCAATTTATAGATTCCCAACAGTGTTTAACTAAAATTTTAAAAATCTGTCTTCTAAATGTAGCTCAAAGATGGATTTTGCTTTTATCATGGGCACGAGATGTCATGGGGGAATCCAAGGATGTTCTAGAGGGTTCTTGCTTTCAGAACACTCTTAAGAATAAGAGGCTGGAGCACCAGAGTTACAGACAGAAAAGAAATTTTATTGATAGAGAAAGGCTGAGCAGAGAGACAGACAGCAGGGTCCAGGAACTGGGTGCCCCCTGAGCACTGGAGTGGGGGATTCATATATATATATTTGTATATGGCTTCCACCCTAACCTAAAGAACAGTTCATACGGAACCCTGTAGGTCCATTCTTGGTGCACATGGGCCTCCTGTACCTCCTGGTCATCTGGCTGAGCTGGTTCCTCCACTTCTCCCAGGTCATGGGGGCTTCCGCGTTCCTAAGATGTCATGGGCTGATTTATGTTATGGAACTGCTACAAATCCCCGCTATGGGTTAGAGCCCCTAACTGCCATTAGGGAGCTAGGATGTCGATATCCAATCATTAGCTACTTCCTGCTGAGAGGGGGTGAAGAAGGGCCGCTGCAGGAGTCAGGGATCCAAACCTGAGGGGATGTCCAAAGGTCCACGACAGTAAGAGTGGGTGCTGAGTAACATTTGGAGTTTGATGGAGTCTAGGTGAGAAGAAATGAAATGCATGAGAAGGTTAAGGAGGCATGGACCAAAGCACAGTGCAGCTCCAATAACAGGAACGGGTCCCAGGACAGGGAAAAGTCTTGAGAACCAGCCGCCAAGGCAATTGTTAGGTTTCCACCCATCTCAAATGGGGACATGAGCGACTTTTCTGATGTTAGTGGCAATGTTTGCTACCCCTTCTCTGTTGTTATCAATTCAAAGGCAACAGTCTAACTGGTTGGATTTGCCACACATACCCCCTTCCTCAGCTAGATAGTCTAAGACCAGGTGGTTTTGATATATAGTGGCGTGTATTTGGATTTGTTGTCTGGCCAGTAATTCTAAGGCAGAAGCAGTCTGGTTGGTGATAATTTCTACCACCGCTTGTAACCTCATGATTTGATTGAGCATGTAAATGGGAGTCTGGTAACCCCAACTCCCATCTTGTGCCCAAGTAGCTAGTCCATAGGTCTCAGTGATCCTCTTGGGAGGCCATTTGTCTCCTCCCCACCTCTGATTTCCCCCTATGCTGACACTTCTCTTTGTTCTGGTCCCCAGGGTTTCAAAGAGGGGGACTCCCAGTTGTTCTCCTTAGGAATTGGGCAAAAGGAAAAACCAAGGCTGGACAATCCCTATAGTACATCTTCTTGTCCAAGTGGGAGGAAGTCTGGAGTAGGCCTGTTTTCCACATGTCCAGAATAACCCATTTGGCATTTTCCACCACTGTGGGGCAGTGCTGGTGAGGTTATCCCAATATTTGCCAATCTCAGGGATACTTCAAAATGGATTGGCCTCATTAGTAGTAGAGCAACTTAAGAGGCTGTGGTTGGTTAGAGATTTGTAGCATTGGGAGCCATCATTATGGGGGGATGATGCCCAGTATCAGGGAGGCTTTTTGGGCCACCAGTTTAGATTTGTCTCATTGTAAGAGAGTACCTATTTACAAGGGGTCTCTCCCACTTATTTATCATATGTGAACCCAGTTCTTTTGAGACAATCCTCCCCGATCACTTCTGATGTGAGAATCCAGGATTGGGAATGGTCACTCTCCTTGATAGTTATAGAGTGATTCCATAACAGAAGTTGGTAAGCATTTAAACTAGACCTTTCCAAGGCCACTCTTCACTCATGAGGGTACCTCTGTATATCCAACAATTTTGAGACATTTAGTTCTGTGGCGATTTTCTCTGCCAAGTCTATGAAGAGATTCTTTCCTATTGCTGGGAGCTCTAACCCTCTCCCTATCTTGCCCCTGAGTTCATCATATAAACCAGGGCCTTGAGTGGCCATTGGCTTTGGATGGGACAAGAGTTTTTTATTATCTTTTTAACAAGTTGTTCTTATGCTATGTCCTGTACTCCTCTACCGTCTGACACTCCCCAGTGTCCCAGATAAGTCCAATAGACCCATTCTTCTAACCTCCTATTGCAAATATAGCTTGCTTTGTTTCCCAAACTCTGGGACTTCTAGTATCACTTACCCAAGTGTATGCAAACCTGAGGGGCATATTTGCCCAAGTAACATCCACTCAGTTGGTGGGTGTAGGATGTAAAGTAAGAACATCTGGAGCCCCCAGTATAGGTGATTTTAAAATGTTCACTACATGGGAAAGGCTGGGTGAGGGTCACACTGAAAGGTAAGAGTTCAAATGTGACATGATAAGCCTCATGGTTATCTATCCCAAGAATGTGAGGCCCCAGGGGAGAAGGCAGACAAGGTCACTTATCCTGAGGGGCCTTCTTGAAGAGGAGTCGGAGGTCCTCTAGAGGCTCGCAGGAGTACCACACTTCGTCTGAGTCTAAGTCTTGAGGAGAAGAATCTTTTGAGGGGTTCCAGCCCTCTGGACTCTGGAGATGTGGATCCAAGATTCCTGTTGGGGTGGGAAGAAGCACAGAATATAGCCCCTCCCTAGGGGGTCTGAAGCTCTCTGGATGCATGAGGGATTTTAACAAGCACCAAATCACTGGGACAAAAGGGTGAAGGAGGAGAAGAGGAGTCACGAGAGATGCCTTGGTGTAACTCAGTTAGGATTTGTTGGAACTTAGCCAGCTGGGTGATATGGGAGGTAAGTCTGGCTGTTTCACCATCCAAAATGAAGTCATTAGTGAGAAACAGAGGGCCATAAAGAGACTCAAAAGGTGTGATATCTAACTTGCCCGGGGTGTTTCTAAGGCAGAGGATGGCCAAGGGCAGAAGTTTGGGCCAGGGAAAATGTGTTTCCTGGGCCAGTTTGGCTAGGTGTCACTTGAGTAACCCATTGGCCCATTCCACCTTCCCTGAGGACTGAGGCCTTCAGGCACAGTGGAGGTGATATTTTATGCCTAGGGCTTTGGATGCCCCCTGAGTCACTTGTCGCTCTGGAGGCTGTGAGGGAGAATGAATCAGGGAATGATTTCCTGAATTAGAACTTTGACCACTTCCCAGGTCTTTTCTGTGAAGCAAGGAAAAGCCTCCACCCATGCTGTAAAGGTGTCCACTAGCACTAGAAGAAAATGGGAGCAAGGACTCCCTGACATATGGGTGAAATCAACTTGCCAGTCCTCTCCAGGATAGGAGCCTTTTCTTTGAGTCCTGCAGAGAGGAGTGGTTGGTTGCAAGGCTTTATTATGCTGACAGATCTTGCCTCCCCTAAATTTGTCTTGTAGGGTCTCCCTAGTTTTTACACTCTCAAACATGAGTTTGACCAAGGACAGGATGTTTTCTACTCCCAAGTGGTAGGTTTGATGT